TAGGTCTAGTCTACTATTGCTGCTCGTTCTTTTTTTTTTTTTTTTTTTTTTTTTTTTTTTTTTTTTTTTTTGGCAATATACATTTCTCGTTCTTTTGATGGTTTCCCTGACTTGCTTAGGTTACATGGACTACTTCAAAACTACTATAATCTACGATCGTATTGGTTTCATTCGATTGAAGGCGCTTATATATATCAGTGTCCAAGTGTTAGATATTTCAGCTATCTTCAGTAGTTTATTTGTAGGGGGCTCACCGAGCTCTTTGCCTTCAATACGAAAGGTTTAAATGATCCAGTGGTGTTGCAATTATTGGGCTTTCGGCGTTGCCTTTAATTAGGACTGGTTAACTGGCTGGCTTATGAGCTTTTCAACTCCCAACAAATTGTGCTTCGACTCATCTGATTTATTCAAACCCATGCTAATCATTACCATTCTCTTCAGTTACTTGGATAAGTCACCATGGTGTCTGACGCTAGTATGATGTTCAAATGTGCTCGAATATTTAACCGCCTAGTAGCCCACTCCCAACAAGTTCACTGAACTCTCTACCTGCAGCCTTTTCAGGGCCACCTCCTCATCATCGTCCAGGCCATCTAGATCCTTCCGCTGCCAGAACGTGCGGAATCCATCCACCAACCTCTGGCTAATCCCTGGCACGTCCTCGGCAGGCATCGCCGCAAAGCACAATCTATAATATTCCTGCGCCCGCTCCAGAACCTCCGGCGTAGGAGCAAACATTGTTCCTGGACCCAACAGGCAGAGGTACGGCTTCTGCATCAAATGCACCCACAAGGCCTTGCTCAGCCTTTCCTGGCCGAACTGGTGCAGCAAAGGATGTGTCTCGATGCAGACCTTGATCCAAACAAACATGCCGCCGGTGGGCCAAGAAAACTCGTACATCTGCACCTTATCCAGGACTTCCCAGGCGCCCTCATCGTGTGTATCATCGGAGACACTACCAGCGTCGATGGAATACTTGCCCTCTTCGAGAATCGTGCACATTGCCTGCATGCGCCGCTCGTATCCCGCGCGGAGTCCCTCCAGCCAACGAACCCAGCCGGTCATCTGCCAGGCTTGCTCGCTCTTTTTACTTTTGTTTTTCTGACCGTCTTCAGTCTGCTGGCCCACAATCAGTTCGGCCACCATGGCCTGCACAAACCCTGATGGCTGCTGAGTTGACGTCTCTGTGAGGCGAGTCAGCCGTTCGATTATAGCCGGCTGAGCCGTAATCCAACCCAGACGACAACCCGGCGCTATTGTCTTGGAAAAAGTATCAAGGCGCACGACACGCCCGTCCGTATCGACGGAGAGATACGATGGCACCAAGGAATCGAGAAACTCGTACCCGGAGGACCGGCCATGGGCGTTGTAATTGCGCGGGGTTACATCTACAGCAGCTGATCCTCGAAATTGGGCCTCCATAGCCGCAGCAGAGGGATACTGCAAGTTCCAGTACGGATCATCTTCTATGATGATGATGTCATATTGTCGGCAGAGAGCATAGATCTCTTTTCTGCGCTCAACCGATAAGGTTCCGCCCGTCGGGTTCTGGCCGATCCTGCAGTTTGACAAGCAGAGTTAGCCGACTTCAGACGCCTATGGTAGTACAATAGGCACAAACTTACGTGATTGTGTACATCAGGTGCGGAAGGCGGCCTTTTCTGAAATCCCAATTTTCGAGAACATCAGCCAACCCGCCCTTTCCGTGCGCAAGCATGCCCTGTGCGTCCATGGCCACTGGAGCGACGTTGAGTCCCCGCGGGTTCACAGTTTGAATTGCATTCATATATACAAACTCCTCGCACAGGATACCTTCGCGTTGGCTGATCCAGTCCCGTCGAGGATCCCAGGGACTGGTAAAGGTTTCAATGGCCTTGGAGAAACCGTCGGTGGAACCGCACGTGAGGAGGGTGTCAGGCCCCCCAGCATAGGGGACATTCGGATGAAGGTGGTTGCGGGTGAACTGCCGGACGAAATCGGCCATAACCGGATAGCCCTCTGCAGTCCCATACTGTAGGGCGGTGGTAAGGTCGATTTTCTTCAGGAGGTTGGTGGTCTGGCTTTCTTTCGGGACAATTCTCCGCTCCGTTGATTGGGAGTCACCGGGGTTCTTGGTTTGGTCATTGCCGGGTGTGGTGGAAAAACGCTCCGGATGGGCAACGGTGGCTTCAAGGGTATCGTAGGGGAAGAATGACGCATTCGGCAGGCCTGATGTCGCAAGTAGTTAATGAGTGGGGTACAAAGTGCAACCGTTGAGAAAGGGGGAATAAGCTGCGAAGCGTCTAGAAGAAGGGAACAAAGAAGGGCGGAAAGAAGCAAGTAAAAGGGGATCGGACGCACCGCCGGCCAGGTTTGCAATGCCTGGGATGAAGAAGTACTTATACAGGCCTTTTATTTCACTCGCCTCACGTCTTTTGGTAAGCGAGGAGAAGTGATGGGACAGGTCCAGTGGAGGGGACAGCATTGAGTGAACCATGATTGCGATGGAGTTGCAATTCACCTAAGCTGCCTTCAGACCAGTCGACGGTCTGTTGTTGGAACTGGGGTTGGGAAACAGCATGAATTAACGCGCCTCAATGGAATGGCGGCAATGAGCGTCATATAAGATGGACGTTATCTCAGTGCTTGATAAGCAGAACCGGCTAGGACTGGCGGCCCACCCGGCGACACGGCAAATGGGCGTAGGACCGCGATAGCACCCTGTGGATAGTAGTACTGGTGATACGGGGAAGCGGATGGCCAGTGGCTGTCGAGTATCGATGATCACGATTTCTCCTTCCGGGGGAGGAGCTAGCGTCTGCTGCACATGCTGGCTCCTCGACCCTTATCCGACGAATCCGAAGGCCGCTCGCGTGGCGGTGATGGAAGACAGCTGGTTAGCCAAGCGCTGCCCGGATGGATTCCACACATTTTGGCTTTGGAGCGCTCTCTCGACTGGTTCATCATAACTCTGATCTGGTGTAGACGCACAGCGTGCACAGAGTACCAGTGTTAGAAAGATTGTGTAATGAAAGGCGCTGAATCCCAACCGGGGGAGGTATCCAGTAGCACCCATACCGCAAAGCTAATCTATTTCCCCACAGGCTGTCCCACTATCTAGTCACTCCCGTCAGACGGCTTCTTTTCCAGAATCCAGAAATAGTCCCGCCTGGCCCTTTCGGGTTCCTTTTCAGTGCCGCTTTTGGCCCCGTCGTTCTGTTTGTGGGGTGAGCGCTGAATATTCTAGGCAGCGATACGCGTTGCATCAGACTTTCCGCTTTTCTTCGCCGTAAGGAAGATATTCGGTATTTCTCCCATACTAATAACGAGCCTAGTCGGTTTCGGTTGGTTAGACTGACACAGAGTGCCTAACGGGCTGCCTCCTGAAAGACTACGCTCTCTACAGAGGTAACAGACCGTTTGGATAGCTGGCATACTCGATTTACTTTATCCACTACATTGGTAGCTCGTAACTTGTCTCGATTCGTCTGCTCGGGATCAAAACAATGTCTGCTGAACCCTCCAAGGACCTAGTAGCACTGATACTTTCTTTCTGGCAACCCCCTTGGCCCCCAGTCCTACTTCTAGCTGGCACTTATCCAAAGCCTGACCATCAAATCCTGCAAAGCCTTCAAGATGGTCACGCCGACCCAACGAATCCCACAGGGTTATCGCTAACAGCAGAGCCGAAGATGGGGGGATGGAAAACCGACGGCGCACTCGTATGAGCGGAGATGTCGAGGATGCAGGAAGGAAAGAGGGGGGGGGGTTTATACTCCCAGAAATCGACTTCTGCCTCAGGATCTCGCGGTCACCTCCCCAGCCCATTACAAGAAATACCCCACGCAACCGAGGCCACAGACGAAGATGAAGCTGGCTTTCGCTTTCATGCCGGTAAGAGGCCTGGGAATATTGTAACCAGGCTTGACTCCGTCTTGATTTGACCTAATCGAATACTAGAGTACAGCTTTTCCTCACCCCAGGGCAACCAACACCAACACCATAGAGTGACCCCATCCTACCCCACCCCAACCGTGACCGGCACATCCACCGCAACCCTCCCAGGCAAACTCCCATTCCTACCACGATAGGAAACCTTCACCAGGAGCTCATAGCACCGCGCAACCAAACAGGAATGGAACGTCGGCACAAAAACTCTATCGTTCGGAAGCAGAACCGGAGTTTGTACGACTGCCTCATATACTATTTTCCCAGATTGCTCGCCTTGATCTCCCGGACATTCTTCCCAGATCACAGAAGCCAATTCCCTCATTCCCAGCTGCACCGTCTTCACATACACTCCAGACCGCATCTGTTTCCGTACCGCAACCGGATCCGTGGGTATCTCGGTCCAAGGAGAGGTACTGAAAAATGTTATCGCGCGCAGGGATGTGGTTATACGGCTTAGGGCAGGAGGAGGAATAGCAATATTGTGGCAAGTCTCGAAGCGCATGTGCAACGTAAGTAACGTATGTGCTGGGCGGCCGCTGTGCAGCCCCATGGAAATGGGATCTGGTTGTACAGCGCGAATGGAAAGTCGACCGAGTCGGGTTTGGAAAACGCCGTGCTTGAGGTCTTTGTGCACGGTGAAGGGCTGAACCCCCGGTTTAGGGGCACAGAGATCGATCAAAGGGGGGGCGAATGGACGCGGAGGTCTCTCGGACTTTGCGGTAGGAAGGATGCATATTTCCCTTCGCGCACTGACCGGATACCTGGATTGGGTATTTTGGAGAAGAAACGATGCCACGATATGGTACTCTATCCTGACCGCCTGCGGACACTGGGAATCGATCGCTGGTTCGTTCCTTGAAGAAGAATACAAAGATGACGACCGACTCCCAAGCGAGGGAGGTAGCTCCGTATGCGCATACGGAACTAGTGTATCCCGGCTCGAGTGCTGGCATGAAAAAGACGAGAGGGCCTTTGGGACAACAAAGGCGAAGGGGAAGGTTTGTGAGGTCCCGTTTTCCAACAGTGGCTTATCATCGACATGTCCTTCCAGGTGAAGAAAAGTCTCAGCAGCCTTGCTTTGTCCCCCGAAATCGTTCCTGATCGTCACGGTTGTGCGACCTGCAATGTCACCGATTAGCATGCGAATGGACGAGCCTGTCAGCTGAGATGATGCACCTTCAAAGGATATCTTCACGTCCAAGTAGCTGATATTATGCTCGAATGTAATCGCTACCTCCCCAGATATCGTATCAAGGGTAGAAAAGACACATATTGCGTCGTCAGGGCGGTTGTGGATGTGTATTGAGATCTTAGGGCGGGCCATGGTTAGATAGAGAATAACAGGCGATCACCCTGCCCAGATCATTTGGGACTCGGCTTTGATATCTGTAATTCAACATCCATATAAATACAAAGCAAGCAATCTCTATATAGAATGAGTATTTACCAACAGCCTTATAGTCCCGCAACGTGATTTCTTTCGGAGTCCGGAGTTCATCCGGCGTTGAAGTAATGTGATTGCTGCGGAACGATTTCCGCTGCCGCCAATCCCATGTTATTCAGCACGATAGAGCATGCATGTGGTTCTTTGTCATCTACGGGCTCAAAAGCTTATAGGATCGCATGTCGGTGTGATATAGGGGTACGGAATTCGGTGTTCGTCTGAATTAACTCTGCTTACGACTAGGCTACGCCGAGATTTAGTAATGTGACCCAGAAAGGTTGCTTTGAGCTAATCAGCTACGTGCTATATCAAAATTTAGACTCATATGATCGCTAAACTGACCGTGGTTACCAAGCATATGTCCAACTGAGGTATCCCAATGCCGACGGTAATTTACTAACTGGGAGGTGAAGCCACCGAGTCAGTGCTCGCTCCGTTCAGGAGACAATGCTACCTATGAAGCTGCGGCAGTCTTGCTCCTTCGCCGAATCACATGCCCAAATTTGTAGAAGATATATGGCACCGGCGTCATCAGTAGCGAGATGCATCCCAACAGCGTAAGCGACCAATGGACACCCAGGTTTGTGTACATCGGAATTGACACGATAACCATGGCCCCCGCGGCTAGATATCGCATGAATGTCGCACTCACTAGTGCACTAGCAGCGAAGAGCTCATATGTATCGATTAGATACTGATAGCTGGATATGAAGATGCCCTGCACAGAGAACCCGAAGGCAACAGATGCGACTAGAGGAGACCAGTATGACACTGACGGATAACTGGTCCATCCCATCCAGAAAAGGGAGATTGGAAGCCATGGGGCGCCATACATGGCGTACCAGAGTCGCTCTTCGGGTGGTAGACTGGGTTGGCCGTTGGCGATGGCTGCCTGCAATCGTCTTTTATACGACGTATACACATGCGGGATCGTGGCGAGAGCAACCAAGAACCCCACGTTCATGCCGATATAGGTCAGGCCCACGGATCCTTGAGAGAAGCCGTATGTGCGACCGAAGATGAATTCATAGCCAGTCAGGAAGCCAAAGAGGACGATATATACCACGACCAGGTACATCGTGAAAAGAGCTACCATGATCTCTCCGAAGAATAGTTTGAATGGGCGGGAGCAGCTATGCAGTAGTCGAATCGGCAACGTAGTTTGGCGCAGCTCCATCTCAGCCATGAAACGAGGGTCGCCAGTAATGGCGCGGAGATGACGAGCCTTCCATTGTAGAAGTACTGGGCCGTAGGTCTCAGGAACAAAGAGAAAGATTGAGCCTGTAATCAGCCCAGCAAGGATCAAGGATGTCCATTCTGACCAACGCCAGCTGATGGCTGAGCTTTGACCAATGAAGGCGCCGACCATTGGAGCGAGAAAGGGTCCCAAAAAAGACAGCGCACAACACACTGGAAATGCATAAGTGCGGTCCAGAAGATCGAATATGTCCGACATACTGCCGCCAAAAGTCGTCAGCGGCGTGCATCCGAATAGTCCGGCAATAAAGCGAAATACCAGCTGGGCTCCTATATTTGGAGATAGACCGGATGCCATAATAAAGATCATAAGCACCGACAATGTCACCAGGTACACGGGATTGCGTCCCACAGTCTCTGAGAAAGGCGCCGCCACAAGAGATCCGAATCCGAATGCGATCAGATATAGCGCAGTGGCCAGAGACTCGGTCACCTCGCTGACCCCAAATGTCTCCTCTCCCTGTTTGATCACCGCAGAGTCGATGGATGAAGCCCAACCCACTAGGAAGCCCGTTGTACCAACAATGCCCAATGTTGTCCACTTTCGTCCTAGATGCCAATTCTTCGGATTGAACGGGTCATCTGGACCGTCGAACCCCACGAGAAAAATTGCTTTTTCATTGGTTTGTCCAATCTTGGCTGCAGATTGGACGCTGACGCCAGGCACAGTCACTCTTTGCCCATTATGCAACGCAATCCCGGGCAGTCCTTGTGATGAGCAGGCGTCGTGAGGGGCTGGAGGAATAACAGTGCTTGAGCCATTGGATATTAGCTGCCCCTCAAGCTGGGCATCATCGATATCTTCCAGGATGTCTCCAGTCGGCTGTGAATGCGGATCCCCAGCGGCATTCGGGCCGTGCAACTTGATGCTTTGCTGCAGGTCTCTGCGGAGACGTCGGTACTGAAGGAAGGATTGCATATCGAACAAAGGCGTAAGGATCAACTTGATTAAGGAGCATCATACAAGGTTCAACAGAAAAGCGTAGTCAGGGTCGTTGTCCCGGGATATATACCGCTGGTTGCACGCATCCGCTCTGCCCGCCCTTCCGCTACACCCGCTCTTTCCGCTTCCACCTTGCAAGTTGGCGGCGATCTTCATCCGAAAGCATTGGAAGCAAATGGATACCGATGACCAGATAAATATGCCTCCTGCTAAGCAATGCGTGCATCATGGTAGCGAAAGTATCGCGATACAACTAGTCCTCACGTAGCCGACACAAACATCACCCATACCTCTGCCCATATCCCGCGTCGTCGAAAAGAGGGATTTCGGCATTAAGGAATGCGTCCCAGTCCCAGTCACAGTCTTCAAGGACAGTTGAATTGACTGTTTCTCCCATCCAAGGCGCGTCGTAGGCCTGGGCAGATGCTGAGCCCTGCTCAACTGGTTCGGCATTCTGACCCTGGACGCTATCCTTCAGAAGGCTCAGTTCCCGCTCTTTCTTCCTTTGCGATAATTTGATCAGAGTATCAATAGTATCTATGGCGGTGTGGACAGTAGGCGTAGTGAAGTGCATACCGATCGTCTTAAACGAACGCATGGCGTGGCCCACGTGTGACAGGGACTCTCGGGAATCTATCGCAAGCAGGATACAGAGAAATTGAAAGGGGACATTGGCAACATGCCACCAGGGACAGCGTTTTTCAGCCATGCGTACTGCAGCAGCGATACCTTCAGTACCTAGTCGAATAATGCGGCTTATAACATCGTTTGGTATGCTAGAAGCAGCCACCCGCAGGCGACGGTATACCGTGAGGGCTAGATTACTCTGAGAAAGAATCAAGGCGTCGTGAGTAAAGATTAGGCATTCCACGCGAGCCAATATATCTTCAAAGTCTGAAGGCCTATTGGTCTGGTCGGGGTCCAACCGTTCGGAAATTTGAAATAACGAAATCAGGTCTGCGGTGAAATCGCCAGCTCGCGGCAAAGGTGGCATGCAAGAGACGCCGCGTAGAATGACACGGGACCGACCATATTCATATGATATCCACGTATTGAGTACCGTCGCAACCCAGAAGAGTCTGCGCTGGCTTTCTTCATCGACCACAACATCCGCTGTATCCGAATATACCAGAGAGACCCTTCCCGGATCTTGATGAGCTCCTGCGGCCTCAATGATATGCATCGTAGAACAGCTGGCCATCCATGAAGCATGAGGACAGTTGGTACTCCGGAGATAGATGGTACGTAAGAGCCATGCAGTGGCGTGGTGTAATAATGGTTTGTTCATGATGCATGCTGTCTCAAGGATCTCTTTTGCACACTGGATCAATGCTCCTTCATTTCGGTGTCCTTGATGGCCAGAATATAAGGACCCCAAGGCCGCGACACCGCAAAGAACCGGGTCATAGCTGTCCAAAGCGACAGGATTTCCCCAGCGTGAGGCAACTTTCTTTTTAAGGATATCCGGATTGAGGACAGCATACACGGGATGTAACCTTTCTAGATAATGTCCAACAAGATCTTCCATGTCCTCCTTGGAGATCAAGCTCGCTATGTTGGTAAAGGTTTGTATGGGCTCATCCCGTAGGCCCAAATTCCAGCTAAAGCCGTATACTTTGGGTGGATTCTGAGGATTCAAGCTCTTCCCCAAAAGATGAGGGAATGCTGTTCCTGAATTCGCCTCCATCTGCTGCTGATTGACATTGGCTCTTGCTCCAAGCCCCGGCGAGGAAGGCCTTTCTCGCAGCCTCACCGATGACCCTGTAGTGCTTGATGAGCAGCGCTTTTTTCGCGGCTGAGTTCCGTAGGAGCAATCAAACTCGTATCTGAGGCAGAAGGCGCATGGCTCATGGCCGTCACATTTCCGCTTCCGCAGCTTGCAAGTTTCACACGCCTTTTTCGTCCTTCGACGCATACTTCCAAGAGGTGGCCGACTGGACCGACCCGGAGTCGATGACATGATGCCACATTGTAGATGACAAAGTAGTGGCGGTGAAAGGATGGATGTATCGCGGAGCTGAGGGAACCAGGAAGGGGCAGGCCACCGGCTCGGCGTTCGGATCGGCCGGGACCCGACAGGCGCTTCTCTCTTCATGCCTCTCGGATGTTTGGATGTCTGCCACACACATACATCGCCGGGCTGAGTTTTTCTTCTTGATGTGTCGGCTGTCTCTATACAATCGCTTGAATTCCCGATCAGTTGACTGCAATATTGCGAGGTAGGTGGCTATGCTCGACAACTAAGCTGGCATGACACTTAGATCCCAAACGGTAAAGTCGCCCGTAGTACTTCCAATGCGATGAGTGCCGAGTCCATATTTCTTACCATTGCTGGGCTCATTCAGTATGAGTACGTGCTGATTTGAAGGGCTATTACCTCCGGCCGACCCATTCTGGAAGGATGATTGGAAGAGCAAGATAGGCAAAACTCCATCTTGGTTGAAACAGACAGAATGTCGTGTAACCTTTTGTCCATATCACGAAGTAAAGAGTGTCTCCTAGCTTGATCTATGGGATGGCATTATCAGCCTCACTTCATCCGATGCAGCCGCAAGCGAAGCCGAGTCGGTGGTCCTCACGGCATTTCAACCCCATAGTCCCCGGCACAACTGTTTTAAGCCGGGTCAATACCGGACCAGGATTGTAGGCGTCTCATCAAAGCTTACAAACAGGGAAGGAGAGTTCCAGGAATAGTGAACCTCTGGGTTACCGAAACCTACCAAGAAGTGGCAGCTTTGGTTCGGCAAAACCAAACCGGCATTGATAAGCGGTCCGACTCCCTAACGTCCGCCTCACTCGTGAGGATGGACACGAGGCAAGGATTCATTGTATTCCGAATCATGCGGGAATGGAAATTGTGTCTTCTATGACGTTCCGAGGGAAGAGCAACCTGCATAGTCTCATGAGTACCTCACGGTGCCTGTCTCGCCCCAACCTCCAGCGGTTCGACTCGATTACTACGTTTCACAATCATGTTCTAAGTCGTCTATAGCTAACTCACGACTAGCAATGATGCTGTCGAAGCAAGGCGTGTCCGTGCACGGTAATGGTGACTTTATATAGAAACATTCCCAACCACGTAGTATCAGGAGGTCGGGCCTGCTCCACTGTCATCGACTATCTGCTATCCCTAGCCGACCAGGCATATGATTGCCGTTCACATGCCTAAATATTCACACGGATAATATTAAACGAGGCACATTGGTCTATTGATCCATCCGACCGCCAGGGATAGTGGGTAGTGGAGCCAACGTGAGAGATTATGTATGCCAAGGGATATCATTACCTGATGGGGAGAGAAGATCGTGCTGGAAGACATCAATCGGTAACTATAACTAACTAATCCTATATTGGAGCTTAGTAAGTCCTCCCAAGAACAAAGGAAAGGGAGCAATCCCCTAAGAACCATGTCCAAAGCCCAAATCTAAACCAATCCAAGCCTCTACCTCAAAGCAGCTTCAAGCCCATCCTAGACTCTTCAACACCCCTAATACCTACCCTCAGTCACTACAAAGCAGAAAGCAGGAAGCAGGAAGCAGGAAGCACGAAGTAAGAGCCCACCCCCTAACTCCAGAGTTCTGACAGAAAACAAGTCCCCACGCTCGCCACCCCTGACTGATCGATCCCCACTAATCCCCGTAGATCCCCCAAATAGTTCCAGGACCATTACCCCGTAGACTAACCCCCCCAGCACGCATCAACAATGGACACTGATTTCCCAGTCAATGATTCATACACATGCCAATCTCATACCAAACAAAAGGTATAAATACCTCCTTCCTGCCTACCTCTACCTACCTTCCGTCTTCACAACACCTCAAGAACAAAAGTACGAAACCATCTTCAATCCCAAACAACAGCACCAACAAAACCGAAAATGAAATTCACCCTCCTTGCAACTCTCGCCTTCCTCGGCACTGCTATTGCCTCTCCGGCATTGAACCTCGCTGCTCGGGATGTATGTTACTCTAACCCCCATTTATCTCCTTTCTACACTCCACATGTCTATATTGGTACCAATGTTGAATACTGACGCAAAGAGAAGCAGCTCCCTGCAGGTGCGCCATGCACGAAGGATGGAAGTATGGGGAACTGTGCCAGTGGGTATTGTCTTGTAAGTCATGTTCTTTATCCCAATTTCTTCTATTGGTTGCTGCCGCGAGCCCTCAACTAGGGGAGAGTAGCGCAGGGTAGGGCTGTTTAGATGGATAAGGCTAATGTGTTTGTTATTTGTGAACTGTAGCAAGATGAGAATGCGAATTCGGGGACTTGTCAGTGAGTAGGGATCGATGGTTCATACCGGTTTAGGAGTTGGGGAGGTATATAGAGTGGAAGTGGAAGGGATGCGGAGTCTATGAGTTAGAATTGGGCGATTGTAAATATGCTGTAGAATTGGATGGAAATCAATGTATTATCGAACTAGAGTCTGATAGTTCAATATAGATATTGTTCAGGATCCTTGATTATACATGTAGTCTGGGAGGATACAGAGTAATCCCGCCATTGCATCTAACCCGTGGCGAGCATTGAAAGAACAGTCTTAAAAATGAGCATACTGAGATCAGCAGGTAATATTTGACACCATATCTGACAAAACACATTCCAGCTCTCATCAAGAGAAAAGCAAGGCAGTGCTCTGCAATTTCACCTGTTCCAGACAAGGAGCAGACAGTAATTATGTACACGATAAAGAGACAAGGTTACAAGTAGAACTGAAGAAATGGAACCGCGTGCTGAAGTAAATCCAAGTCAAGGGTTGAGCTTGGGATATTCCAGACCGTGAATAGACCGGACAAGGCGCCTTGGTTTTTCAGAGATAATCATCGTATCAATCGTCTGCTGTGTAGATATTTAGCCGGCTTATCTCCCATGAGCATGCCCGTGTCCATGACGCTTGTGGGCATGGTGGGAATGTCCATTGTGCTGTGCAGGGGGTTCGGTCGGTGTAGTCACAATCGTGGACAGGACTTTATTAATGGTGGAAGTCGAGGTTGAAAGGGTCTCCGGTTTCCCCGTTTCGGTCTGAACAGGTGCTCCGGTTTCGTCCGTGAGAACAGTGAACACTTGCTGGACATAAACTATCTTCTGAGTGAAGACACCTTCAACGTAAACGGTGGTGGGAGCCGGCACCCGTCTAGTTGTGGATGCTGAAGAAGCCGTCGAGGTTGAAAAGAGTGTCGTGGGAGCAGTCGAGGTCGAAAAAGTTGAAGGGGCGGCGGTCGTGACTCCGATATGAACATCCCCCACATTGACAGAGGCACCAATGGAGACACTGGGTTCTGGCACAGCTGGGGAGGTATGATGGCTTGAGCCGGTATACTTGACCGGGCTTGCATATGCAGGTCCATATTGGATGGCAATGTTATTCGGAAGACCGCCCTTGTGGAGATATACATTCTCATCTGCCAGCTCATCTGGTACTGAGAAGTTACACTGGCCCTGTTCCGAGTCGCTTTGGAGGTCAAATATGGGGCAGTCTTCCACCCGGCCAGACAGGTTGGTGCATTCGTTCACTGCGCGTTGAAGGAAGCCGGTTTGCCAGCCGTACATGAAGTCCCCATGATAGCCGTACCCAGTCGGGTCGCCGTTTGCGAGAACAAAAGTGCCTCTTTTATTCTTGAACGCGTAGGTGTCCCAGATGGTCTCATAGAAAAGCGACACAAGACGGGTCTCGAAGCCTTCCGGACAATCTCCGTCCATGACCAGCGATGGGTAAGCCACATGCGACCTATGATCCTCCGAGTCAACGTCCTTGCCATTCCAGCAAGAAGGGAACATTAGTTCAAATCGAACACCGTCAGTACAATGCTCGTCCATGAAGGTCTTGCTCGGCAGGAAATGGCGGCCCAGCGATGGTTCAGCGGCTTGGTTGTAGTTCAGGCAGTTGAAGCCAAGGGCCTTTTGGCGAAGCGCAGACTGCGATGATTGATTTCCCGACCATTCGGACTTCGGAGGGTCGGGAACTGGCCAAGGGAAGTTGCGTAGAAACGGATCGCCGGCAATCATACGAAAGTTCTCGGGGAAAGCGGTCACATTCTCCCCGTTCAGGAAATAGTAGCTGAGGGCATTGGTCAGCAACCGACAGCGTTCAAGAAAGTCTGGCCACTCACGCAAGCATGCCGCCTACTTCATTTACCAGCTCCGCATCACCGTTCTCATGCATGAAATACAGTGCGGGGACCCAGTATGCGGACTTGTCTTGGGTTACCCCGCATGATGTGCAATTCGCTTTTTTGAGGCTTGTCTCGGTGGCCGACATGGAAAAGCCTATTCATCCAGGTTTAGCGAGGATATCACGATGCGGAAACAGTATCATTGGACGAACCTCCTGATCCATGAACCACATGGACGTGGTCTGATGGTTTCCCCGGGGCCATCAACGGATCAATCCGGGCCACTCCGCTTCGTCCACGACAAGGAAGACGCCAAAAGGCATCTGAAACGCTAGAGAGAGCAGCCAAACAGGCCACGAGAATGACATTTCGGCGCATGATCGAGAGTGGGTGTTCGAAAAATGAGTGACAGATATAAGTAAACGAGCGAGACCGAGTTTCCGGTTTAATGAGCGAATGTGTCAACTACACGCGTCGCCAGGAGCATAAGTACAGACACAAAGCCATCAAATGTAATGGACAAGATCAAATCTAAAGGAGTGTAGAGAATTGGAAGAAAAGCAACTGTGACTAGGCCATCAGTGTTACTCAGTAACAGTGAAAGCGAGTGCAAACGCGGGTGCCAGGCATAGTATAAAAACGGCAAGAACCACAACAATGACAAAGCAATCTGGAATAGTTCTGATTAACTCTGGAACGGGCACCAGCTGATACAGGGCGCTAGTCCATTCAACCTCCAAGGTCGTGGTTCACGTAAGTGGCTGAGGTGAAGGCAGGGGGATCCCTTGCATACCAAGTCCGGTGGCTTGCTCTTCACTCGCCACCAGCCTGCGCGTGGATACACCTTAAGGCGAACGTCGATACAAAGAAAATACACAAAACTGGGCTAGATTTGGTAGGGAAGCGAAGAAGCGATAACAACTCACATTCTCTTCCTTGAAAAGACAAAGGGTGCCGGTGGTCGATCAATGCCTGTCTTGCTGATGGGTTGGAATGGGTCTGATGCCGGGAATCTAGGGTCTCTTTTCAGCTCTCGGCTACATAACTCATGCCTTTGTCGCAGATAGTGAAGTAGAGGAACCAACGAGAACCATACATTGAGGCAACTGAAAGAGTAATGATAATTAGTTGAACCAAAGATCAAAAGAAGTATAAAAGAGCAGGGAGTGTAAGTAGTCGGGATTATATCTCTCTTTTCAAAAGGAGTGGAAGGACGTCAATGTCGTCTCAAGGCCCGGAGGCAGCAAACAATGAGGGGGAGTGGCAAGAAACGAGTCAGGAGAGAACACCCAAGTGGCAGGAGGGGTAAGAGATACGGAGTACATTATAAAGGAATTAATTTGCCTATCAGGAGGGTAAGCAATTTAAGCGGGTAGTACACACACCAACCAGGTCAGACAATGACAATGGGGCGATTTTTTCCAGGAGTTGCACTTCTCGCCTGCTAGACACAGATTCCAGCGGCCATTGGTTTTTCGTTACCATCTTCATGGTTGGCGGAATAGAAATCTAGTGAATCAACAGACCTGAACTCTCTATGATTAGGGATATGAAAGGGCCCACAGATATGTGGTACCAAACCATGGAGTCCTGGGTCGCACAATCGCATCTGCTGTCCTGACCCATGCATGATAGCGCCGATCGGGCCCATGAGCTGCAAGACGAACCCATGCAGCGATGCGCAGCATCTAGCGCTGTTTCTATTTTCTTCCCATCACACCGATCGAAGAAGATCAGTTTAGAATCACAGGGTCATCTGCAGCCCAGTGAACGGTGTCTCAGGCATTTTATGTGACAAAGGAAAGCCACTGGTAGACCTAAGCGAAGGGCTTCATTTCCTTAGGACCAGCCAAGAAAGGCAGTGCCTCGACATCCACTAATCACAACCAATCCTTCAGTGACCCTGTTTCACTCGGAGTTATGATAGCAGTTCGTTGGGTGTGGTTAGTGCATCCTTGGGGGCGTCATTGCCAGCAGCCTTATCCTATAGAAGATGCAGATCTGCGCCCCAACATGATGGTGTGAACGACCTTGAAACAAGTGTTTGGGCATAGTGTGGAGGGACAGCCCCTCGGGTCAGGAAGCTGGAACATGGAAGAAGCCAGGGAAAAGGGACCGAGTCGCCGGGTGTTCCTGGCTAGTCAGCCGCTAGGGAGGCTGGCCGGGGCCTAGCGTGTCTTTGTTCCGCCGGTCGCAGGATGCAGGATGCAGCATGCCGATTGCAGATCAAATGCATTATTATTGTTACTTATAAGTTATAAGACGTGATAGTGCATGTCTTCAAGGTACTGCTACTCAGGTAGCTTGGACATCTGTTGGAGATAGTCGCGCAGATGGTGGTCTCTGCTTCAAGTGCTCAGTGTTGGAAGAGAAAACGCACATGGCCGGTTCAAGGTATTGACTGTACCATGGTTTCTGTTCTGAGGAAGAATTATCCTGATGGGAAGAACATATAAATAAAGATGATATTCAGAACATGATTTGACATTTGTACGTGAAGGTGACTGAAAAGGAAAATTGAGCGGGTGGTCTAAGGCCGAGCCAGCAACATATAACTATTCTATCCGGGACAGACAAGTCTCGTCATGTGACATCAGTTTCAGGAAGCTGTCCAGATGACAATCAAATGTTCGGGAAATGAACGGGTTCAATTAATTGTCGGACAGTATTACGGTTTGCTCCAACAGAAGGAAGATAGATTGTTGGTTTTCACACGCCTTTAATCAAGAATCCCCAATTGAAGCCGAGGTTCTTTATCTGGTCTACATATCTTTGTCCTATCAAGATAGAACAGATCTAGATTGCGGCCAACTCATGTAGCACGATATAACCCGATAAGAATGATAGCATGATATCTACAATAATAATCGTTTCTATCTGTTCGATTGATTGTGATGATAATCCTGCATTATCGGTACGGAAAGCCCCAAAGATAGTTCCAAGGTGCGTTGTCAATGTTTCTCCTCCATGAGCGGACCATCAGAGCCGGACCATTGCACTGTGCATTAGTGTATACTGACCATCATCCCGGTTTCATACGGCCTGGATGGTTGATAGGGAAGTTTGTAGCAATAAAATAGCGAACCGGTTCCCTTGTGATGTAGGACCTGCGAAAGATTCCCCATGATTATTATGTAAATATTATAATCAATTGGCACCACTTCAGTCAGTCTGGGCCCAGGAATCATGATCCGATTCGAGTTTCTTGTGAGATGTCAGCACTCAGCAGATTAACATTCCTCTCAAATCTCAACAAAAACCCCAGCTGTCATCCCCGGGAGTGGGCCACAAGACAGTTGAGAATATTACGAGAGACTACTATCAATTAATTGCCGCTACGGACCACTACAACCGGCAAACCTTCCCCCCGGAAAGAGGATCCATTTCCTGGCTGCCATGAAGCCCATTTGAATTTCGAACACACACTGCTGGATCGATGGAGGGGTGCAGACTTACTGCATTTGGTCATGAGGCATGCCGCGAAATCATTCTTATCTACGCGCTATCCCCCAGGCGGGAAAGGAATCCTTCGGCCCCAGCTTTGTGGCGGAGACTACCTAAGACTAAGAGAATAAAGAGACGCCGGGTGGTGACCGAGTAAGTCGGCCACGATTGGCCTCGAGAAAACGATGATCCGTTGCGATGGGACAAGTCGGAAACTGCTGGATGGACGCTTCGGAACAACGGAGCGATGTGCATGATAATTCAAGCCGCTTGGTTGAAACACAGCTAAGCGGTCGGGCGTCGTGGCTCGTGACATCGGAGTGCTTCGTAGGCCACCGCGGATGCAGAGCAAGGATCGTCGGCTAAAGGTAAAACGGGCAGCGGAAACTTAATGGTGTGGCCTGCTCGGATGGGTAATGATTGCTGGCCCCTAAGAAGGAAAGTTGACGATACGAGGGTCTTAAGGCGGCTTTAGCTGCGGGAACATTCCGTGGCGCAGTCTCTGATTTCTCGCATGCGCCTGCTCGTTTTCCTTGGGCAGCTGCTATGTAGAAGTCCCCTGCAGAGTCGATAATAGATATGGATCGCAAAGTACGAAGTTACTGCGCAGCATCAAGTACGAGAAGGCTGAAGCACACTTGCCGGTTATCGGCCGGATCCGGCACTGATCTAGCCCGGTGAATTCTCTTAGTCAAATGTTTCTCCTCTCGTGGTCGTGAGACCTCTGCTTGCGAATGAGAGGCTCCGGTTGAGATGAGATCCACTGCGCGGTGGCTCCCCAATGCGGGTTTGGGCTAAGCCAATCGAGTTAACCTCCCAAGTAGCGAGGGGCCGTGGTCTCGTCGAAGCTGGGCCGCTGGAGAAAGTTCGGATGAGAGTCGACAAGTTCTCAATAACCAGAGAGAATACGGGTGTATGCTTTCCTAATGAACCCCAGGTTTCTTGGAAGATGGCTACTTGGCAAGGGAGTATGATATCATGAGAATGAAGGGCCCTGCAGGTTATGCGGGCTAGACTTGTGCTCCCTGTCGAGAAACTTTTTGAGCTCGGCCCGGTCCTGGCAGAAGACCGCGAAGGGGCAAAATGGCTCCGACCGGCCTAAGGACCGCACTCAACGGACGGTATGACGATTGCAAAGATTCTAAGAGAACGAAAAGGAATAAGTACGCAGCTCCGTAAGCGGAACTGCCTTCCACCGGTGCACACGCACAGAAAGGTGTGACTTGAAGCTGCCGTGCCTACTGCCTAGGGAGTTAAAAATCTGTCGTCGGAACCCAAACCCACCAACTTCACCAAGTGGGGAGCCGCCACTCCCTGCAGCCAAGATCAGCCAACGATAGCGCTCGGTGGTCTCCGGTACCAGAGCCCCATTGTGCTTCCACCAACGGCAGCACCAGCGCCACACGAGCCTTCCGGCCAGGGGACACTACTGTGCCTGTCGGCCTCGATGTGTTGGTTGTTGAGCGCTCTACCTTAATTTCCCAGCCGGATAGACCCTCTGATGACGATACCAGGCGGACGAAAGCGAATCGGATCCGTGAGATTCGGCTGCATCTGCACCACCCATGTCGGTTGTGGTTAGCCCGGCTGCTGGAGTGGCAGAAGACGGGGAGCGTCATCGAAGCAAGCAGGATATGGGGAACCCTTCCGTCGTTAAGACTGGTGGGGACGCCGTAGGAGGCTTGATTCGAAGGTGAAGGAGGGCGAAAAAGAAAAAGAAAAAGCGCTTTCTCGATCTTAAATACTCACACCTATCCCAAACCAGGTCTCACATCATATCTTCAAACTCTCTCTCTTCCTACTTTTCACCTCTCACCCCCTCTCCTCTCCTCCTCTTTCCTCTACTAGTGTCCTTCTCTGCGAGCATCGTGGTGAAGGTCTAGTGCTCACTTGTTCTCCGCGTTGGCTGTCGTGTCCCACACCAACCCGCCTTTGTTGATAGCTGAAAGCACACGCAACGAAACACAGATTGACTTCTGTAATCCCGATCGCCCCGGGCGTTTTGTATCCTTGTATCGCCGTATCGCCGGGTACAGCCTCTCAGCCCTCTTGCGACAGTTGATCTGCCCTCCTCGCAACTCCGACGACAGTTTGCGACACCCATCTGCGACATTAAACCGGCAACCCGAGTGCCAATCGCAGCCACTTTGTCCCGCAGCAGCACCGAATCGCTTCCGCCGAGTGTTTTGAGAACACAATAAGCCCTTATGCAGCAGTGGTCTTAATCGAACCGATCTAGACCTCTCTAGGACCTCCAACGCGATCACCTTGCAACACGGCAGTCCGGACCAGCGACTTTCGATTGCCCTTTGCGCCATATTCCTCCGCCATAACGGCTGTTATTTTTGACGCTGACCCTTGCCACAATTGTCTGGAACAATGAGTGGTCTCGATATAGAAAAGAAGGCGAGCGTGAACCACGCGTCGTCCAGCGAGAACGTCTCTGGATCTGAAGATGCAGACGGACTCAGGCTAGCTGAGATGGGCTACACGCAGGATTTGCAGCGCAATTTCTCCCTGCTCTCTCTGGTTGGAATTGCGTTTTGCATGTCCAACTCGTGGTTCGGTATCTCGGCGTCCTTGATCACCGGTATCAGCTCTGGCGGTACGGTCCTCATCATCTACGGCTTGTTCTGGATCACCTTCATCTCGACTTGTGTTGCTGCCTCACTTTCGGAACTGGCTAGTTCCATGCCCAACTCTGGTGGTCAGTATTTCTGGGCGAACGAACTTGCTCCGAAGAAGTATGCTCGCTTTTGGTCTTACCTTACTGGCTGGTTCGGATATGCGGGTGCCATTTTCGCCAGTGCCAGTGTTGTCCTCAGTCTCGGGTCCGGTGTTGTGGGAATGTGGCAGCTTGGCCATCCATCATTGTATGCTTTCATGATCCCATCCTTGCTACCAGAATGAAGTGGCCTGCTCTATGTGTGCAATGCTGACACCAACCACAGTGTTCCCCAACCCTGGCATACCGTAGTGGCATACCAACTTATCAACTTCTTTTGCTACCTCTTCAATTGCTGGGGTAAATTCTTGCCCGCTGTCGCCAAGGCCACGCTGTATATCTCCTTGCTCTCGTTCTTGGTCATTCTGATCGTTGTCCCGGCTTGTGCCAATCCGCATGCAAGCGGGTCTTTCGTGTTTGGGCACTTTGCTAACGCCACCGGTTGGAAGTCGGATGGAATTGCATTTATTGTCGGTTTGATCAACCCGAACTGGATCTTCGCCTGCTTGGACTCCGCCACCCATCTTGCTGAAGAGGTGCCACAACCCGAGAAAAACATTCCCATTGCTATCATGACAACAGTTGGCCTTGGATTTGTTACCGCATGGTTCTATTGTGTTGCCATGTTCTTCAGCATCAATGACCTCGATGCACTCTTGGACTCCGCTACCGGAGTCCCCATTTTGGAACTTTACTACCAGGCCCTGAGGAATAGGGCCGGCGCTATCGTTCTGGAAACTCTCTTGGTGGTGACAGGCATGGGTTGCCTTATTGCTTGCCACACTTGGCAGTCACGTCTTGCTTGGGCTTTCGCTCGCGACCGCGGTATGCCTGGACATCAGTGGCTCTCACAGGTCAACAAGAAGCTGGATGTGCCGATTGCCGCCCACTCCGCAAGCTGTTTCGTTGTTGCTGTGCTTGGCTTGCTCTACCTCGGATCCTCCACTGCGTTCAACAGTATGGTGACAGCATGTATCTCTCTGCTGTACATCTCATACTCGATTCCCGTTATCTGTCTCTTGTACCGTGGCCGTGACAACATCAAGCATGGTCCTTTCTGGCTGGGTAAATGGGGACTTGTGGCAAACTATGTCACCCTAGCCTGGACTCTCTTCTGCCTCGTCATGTACTCATTCCCTTCGAGCATGCCAGTCACAACAGGCAGTAAGTTTTCCCTGACCCTGGACCCCTCAAGTAGCCTTTTGGACTAACCTGGTTGGCAGATATGAACTATGTCTCGGCCGTTTATGGTGTCATTGTCTTCATTGTCCTGTGTGACTGGTTTGCTCGAGGCAGACGTTCGTTCAGAGGCAGCGTGAGTTGTGTGGAAGGAGAGACTACCGAGTAGAGCGAGGCTGGATCATCACATACTCTTTTCCTCCTTGTGTCTGAGTGCTTGGACGAGAAGACTCATTCACAGATTATGACACCGACCGGGATCCCAGCGAGTCTCGGATCTTCATGACTTAAAGACAAAACAAAAAGAAAAATCTGTATATAGACGATACCCTGGTGATATAGAGTCAATATGGACGAATGAAAAAAATTCAATAAGTCTAGACTTTCCAGTCGTTAGCTCGCATATAACCGGGTTTGATGAGAATGCGACGGATAGGTGAAATCCTCAGAAAAAAGAGGAATACGCACACGAGGCCATCGCGTCGCATGGGCAATCCCACAATTGTTTAGGGAGGTGCGAAAATCAAAGGGGAGGAGCAAAACTGAGCATCCCATGTGACCACCACAAACGTAGCTAGACCGTTTTTGGCCGGGGCTGTCGTCTCCCCAGAACATTCTAGGCCGCTCTATTTACTCCATGCCCAACGCCCATGACAAAGCTCGAGCGCCATTTTCCACTGTGGCTTGCGATAGCACAGTTTCTCTTACCCTCACAATTGCGATTTGTGTGACTCGAGGGCAAATCTTGTGTTGTCGGAGCGAGCTGGTCTAAACACGCGTTTGTTAGCTATACAAGTACGTAATGGCTGGGGTTGTTGATAGCCGAGTCAAACTTAAATGCAATTTTATAGTGAATTAGTCAATGGATGGTATGGGGGATAGTTATTCTGTCTCAAAGCTGCAAGCCACTTCTTGAGGGCAAAGCTAGCATGTTCCTCCTTTCATCTTTTAGCTTGCCTCTTTCAGTTGTTAGATCTTCTTAAATGCCCCGTCCATCGCCCCATGGAGTCGAGCAGGTCATAACCGTACTGGTGTAGCCTTTTCTAGAGTTTGGAAATATCTAATTCGAGATTGTATCGCGGTGCTTGGAGTATCTTCCTCTGCTCTTCCTTTGAGAATTTTGATCATGATAGTGACGACCACATAAGCTTTCAGTAATTCCGTGATCTCGTTGGGGCTGAATGCTCCTGGGTTGGTCTTCGCTTTACTAGTCAATGTAACAGGGACTATTCCAGTTTCACATGTGGTTATAGATACCGGTCTCATTGTTCCCTGCAAGCAGAAGCTCTCCTGGAAGAAGGCTAGGCAGAATACTCCCGGACCGAGGAGTCATGAGCAACCATAGGACTTGTATTAGGCTTTGACAACCCACATTCGGAACATCAACGATCTTTTCATACCGAGAAAGATTGATAATCACATTCTTTCAATGCAAATTGGCAATGGTCGGATTGTGAACTCGAGGAAGAAGCACATTCGGATAATGTCGTAAGATCTGCTGTAGAAATTCCTCATCAACACGGAGCAAATTTGTTGTTCGCATGCTTGCGAAAGACAAGTGAATCGAGTCCAGTCAATGTGCCAGAGACTTCTTTTTTTTTTCCCCTGCGCTGTTAATTCCCCCCTCTCCATACTCAGCTCCTCTCATGCATCTCAATTCGAGCTCAGATTTACCTCCAAGAGGTAAGGCATGATGCATCATGACCGTTCATCAACCCCAATAATAGTCACTTAATACAACCTTCCTGGCATTCTTATCACCCCAGATTCATAGATAAATGCTGTATGGGCACTATGGAAACAGCTGAGAGGCAGACCTTGGTCAAGACGTCCGAAAGATTTGCAGAATCGTAAGGCGTTTTATATCTGGGCACATTGTCAACGCAGCAAAGCTATGGAAAGGTCACCCGATACAACCTATTATAGCTGCGGTATCAATGGAGGGATACATTCGACAGTAAAAATTCAATTTCTCGAAGAAGTCCGAGAGTTTCCCGGTTACGCTGCCGGTATGCTAGGAGAAATAAAAAAGACAGTCAAAGCTTGTGGTGGTGCCTTTCAAGATCCTATATCCGCCGAGCACATTGGGATGAATGAGTAATGCTCACGATCACATACGATTTGGATTACCCAAGGGAAAACAGGAAACGCGGCTTGACAGTTTCAGGAGTTGCATTCAGTATGGTCCACCGAGCAAATATTGTTATAGTTTGGGGTTTGCTCTTTATATATAATCCGGAGTTGATGTTTTCATACAGCGGCAACGAGCATCCTGGTTACAAGCCAAATATAGACAAACGGAGGGAAAAAAACATTGACATGTTATAGCACCGACTTGAAAGTCAAATGATCCCGAAGGATTTTATCAATAACTTCAGTAGCCATAAGTACTTCTTCGTCTTGAAATTTCCACCCAACAATCTGAATAGCAGTAGGTGCTCCATGTACTACATCTGCATCATCTGTAACACAGTTAGTGGTTAGTCCATACAGTCAAAGAGCACTTACAGCCGTCACATATTTCCGAATCCAGTGATTTATCAGCCTTAAGATAGGGAATGATACTCGCAGGAAACTAAGTACTCCGTGTCAGCAACATAGACAGAGTCAAAGTAGCTTCGCTTTTAGCTCTCACATTCAGCAAATTCCAGATGACAGTATATACCGGCGGTCCATATGTATCATGTGGACCTGCAGTTGAATAATGACCAGGACACATGAGAACATCCAATTTGTAATGCCTCCAAACTTCAGCCATCTTTTCCCGGTACGCGATCAGCGAACTATTAGCATCCCAGACATCGTCTAACGTGAATGTGGGATCTTGTACTCCAGCCAGAGTAGCGGGAGAGGTGTACTCCAACGCTTTAATTGGTTGCTCATCGCCTTCCAGAACATGCTGTAGGAGGGTTTGTTTGCCATCAAAGAGGAAGTATCGTGCTGCTAGTTTCAACCCATCATGAAAAGAGGGGGCATTAGTCACTAGATGTACAGCGTGACCGGCTGCCTCGAGTGCAGCGTGGGCTGATTTGAGAGCCCGTTTCACCGGAGGGGATAGTGGAAAATCCTTATCTCCCATATAGACTCCGATGCTCAGTCTCTTCTTTGGAGACACATGCCGCCACCCAATTCCAAGAGCAGTAGGATCGAGGCGCCATGGCTCTGAGGAGAGGACCGTTCGACAGAAAAATGTTAAGTCCGATGCATTATTTGCGAGTGGCCCGACTGCTGAAACAAAGCCGGGGGTTCCTGGCCTGTCTCCCAGTTCGACCTTACCGTGTGGCATTCGGTCTGCAGTAGGTTTAAAACCATACGTGCCGTTACAGAGAGATGGTGCGCGAATGGAACCTCCGATGTCTGTACCTACCCCTAAGATGGAGCCTCGTAAGGCCACCAGGGCGCCTTCGCCCCCACTGCTACCACCCGCGCCGAGGCTGAGTTTGTGAGGGTTCAGAGTTCGGCCAAAAACATTGTTGACGCTGTCTAGAGTCTTGATGGAAGATGAAAAGATCAGCGTGGAGTCGAGGAATTAAGAGAACAATAAGCCTCATACCAGCAATGTCTGCGGAATATTAGTCTTGAGGTACAATATCGCGCCATTTGCGAGGAGTATATCAACGAGGGGCGAGTTCTCCGCAGCAAGTGGCTTCTTCAGAAAAGACACAAAGCCAATTGTAGTTGCTTGTCCTTTGACGTTGAAGCTGTCCTGTGTATCAAGGACCACAGTGTTAGTAAGGACAATGACCATCGCTCCATATCCTCATCATCTGCGATTGAAACAGGTAGTCTAACCTTTACACTGATGGGGAGGCCGTGGAATGGCCCAAAGGGCCTATTGTATTTATTCAGGTAGTAATCAAGAAACCTTGCTCTCTCAAATGCTTCTGCGAAGAATATCTCAGTGGCGCAGTTGGTCTAGTCGAACGTGTCAGCCGACGATTTTACTACGGGATGCGAGGGATAAGCAAGCATACCAACTGTTGTGCGATCGCAGCTCTCTTGCAAAAGGATTTGCAGACTTGGAGAGAAGTCAATCTGCCTTCGATGATATCACGGTGAAGGTTCTGGGCGTCATAGGACTCTGTAATTCTGATCTCCTCCTTTGTCAACAAGCGATGTTTCCTTAGGATATCAAATGCACTTAGGTCGGTGTTCTCATTGATTTGAGTCAGAATGTTCTCTGAAAGTATCCAGTCCGGAGGGATTCTGGATGCGCGATCCTTGAGCTTGTCAGCGATGAGAGTCTCCCAGCCGGTCATGTTGCAGAACACATCGATGATCTCGTCTCCTAGCTATAACGAAAGGGATAACGAAGGGCGACAGAGCTTGTAGTATCAAATTTAAGGAAAATACATAAGATAAGACCGCTTGGTGGGGGCCCGTTTCTGCTTGTTTCTAGCGGGGTTAATCTACCACATGGCGAGCTAGGTGAAGCCGTCGAATTCATCCGACGCCATATAACAGGGATATTATGACCGTCATTCATAAGGCAATCGGATGATGTGGTCAAGGCAAACCATTGGAAATTGAGGGCTGAGGTTAAGGGAACACTCTGACAACCAGACCGTTGCCTCGACTTGCCTGCAGTCATTCCACCCCATTAACTGATTTATCTGTTGGTTTTTTCCGAGACCTCTCCGATGCGAAGCCGTGGCTATGCCAGCCACCATAACCAGAGAGGTAGTCTAGCGTCCAAGCTAAATGGCTAGCAGGATCAAACTAGTCACGCCATCAGTTATCGGAAGCCAATGATTGCTTGACGGCACAAGATATTCACCCGACATGCTGGCCCATTCATGCATCTGCCCGACACGTGAGCCGTGTCCCCGGCAAACCTCGGCTCCGATTTCATTAGACACAATAAGTCCGGTTTGTCTATGTTGGTATGTACCACTCGACGAATCATAGCAGGAGTATGCGAAAATAGTATAGCGAACTATTCTGACTCGAGACCAATACCCAAACCGCCCATCATTCTGTAGTTATAATCAGTCTCAGGATTACCCAGGCTCGATAGAGAAGCATGATTTGGAACACTTACGTCTCGGTTTAATGATGACCAGCTACCTCAGTCTCATCGATTATTTCCAGAGGCTCGTCTAATTCCATCTCAGTAAGCACATTAGTCGCTGCACTCAGACAGCGACCTGAGCTTTCCAGGCAAGAAGTCACAACCAATAGAGTTCTATGCGGCGACGCCAGCTTCAAGCTTAAAATGGGTCCGGAAAGCATTGACTTTTGTTGTTGTTTCAAGGTTTAAGGCAAACAGATTTTACTCGACCTGCAGTGCACCTTGGTAATCAAATGAATAACCATGGGCATGGCGTCGGGTTGCAGCTACAGGCTTCTTGGAAACATCGAGATAATGGGAAGATGCCCCGAGCAAGAATGATAGAGTAAGCCCTAGACTCAAGTAAGACCCCGTCAAAGATGCATTGATGAGGTGGACTAGATGCCGATCACCGAAGCTGCTCCTGGCGACCTTCATATAGCCCACTAGTTCGGTTAGCTGAATTCCCGATTGTGACATAACTCGGCGCCTGTTAGTCCTAGCCATCGTCGATATCTTGGGAAAAGCGCTCATGATTTCCCACAGCTGGGGACTCTTCGCATGGATTTAAACTGGACATCATGTTGAGATGAAGGATAAGAAGAGCCCGTGGAACGGGATGGACCGGTCGGACAAAGGAATGGAACAGATTCCAGTACAAGTGGGCCCGCATCAACCAATCCGAATGCTTAGTTTACGAGCGGGCCAATGGCAAGAAGGGCCGCCTGACCAGCCTTCAGGCAGCTGTCTCTGCAGCAATCTCACCTGCATCATCCTGTGGTCGCCTTCCATCTTCCTTTCAGGGGGTTGACCCTCACTAGTCATCGTGTATGGCGGAATCAGATAAGTATAAGTAGATGACCCCGGGAATAAGTTCGGCTCGGGGCATCGAAAAGCAAATATTGAAATGGAGCCCGGCCAGAAGAAGCGTCGCGCAAGCAAACCTAAATGCAAGACAGGCTGTCGGACGTGCAAGTGAGTGTGATGGTTGCCTTCTTTCACTAAATATTCGTGCGCTTACCCCTCTACAAGGATCCGTCGGGTGAAATGCGACGAGGGTCGACCAGCATGTAGCCGATGTGTGTCAACCGGCCGAGTTTGCGATGGCTATGGGATCTGGGGTGGGGGAGGAACTACTTCGTCTGGCAATCGTGCAACCGTACCGAAGGTGTGCCAGAATGCGCTGTCTTGTTATAATGCGCCAGTGCCAATTGTTCATGCCACATCCACTGAGAGAGTATGCGTAGACTGGTTCATTCAGCGCACCATCTCCAAGATCGCAGGAGTTTTTTCATCCGACTTCTGGAACAGGCTAGTCGTCCAGGCGATATCCCAAGAGCCAGCAGTGCGACATGCGGCATTGGCATTGGCATCGGCTCACCGATATGGGGCACACAAAGATGACCCGGCGTGTACACTGGAAGATCACCTAGAAGAATGTGAGAAGTTCACTCTCCAGCACTACAACAAAGCAATCAGTTGCCTCCATGCCGAATTCAAGCGCAGTAATAAGCTGAATCAGAGTATGAATGTTGCCCTGATTACTTGCATGTTATTTGTGACCCTTGAAATGATGCGAGGTCAATTCACAACAAGTCAGACTCATCTACAGCATGGGCTAAGGCTGCTGAAAGAACTTCAGACCCTGTCGGGCACCTCTAGAAGTGAGAGTATCTTGATAAGGACTTTATCACGAACAGTCGAAGATGATATCATTCAAGTCTTCAGCAGACTCGCAGTACAGTCTGCTCTGCTTGGACACGGGATGCAACATTCGAACCTTGACTATGAAATTCAACCACGTCACTTACCTTACAAATTCCAGTCAATTGAGCAAGCGAGACAATATCTGGATGTCCTTCTTGCGAGGACACAATCACTAGTGGAGATGGGTCGCCAGATAGAAATTGGCATGTACGTTGAGCCTCAGAGTTATGAAGAGCTTCTCGAATCTCAGTGGCGCATGGAAAAGGAATTGACGATTTGGCTTGATGTCTACAAGCTATTTCTTGGTGAAGCTCGATCGCATGATTTGACCCAAACTATATTGGCTGAGAAGTTACTTATGATGTACCATACTATGGCCCTGATCATGGTTACGACCTGCATTCCATGGGATGATGAAACCGCATTCGACCTACAAACCGACAGGTTTTTGTCGATTATTCACGAAGCAATCAGTATCTGTCAGGCCATCAAAGATGTGTACCCGGATTCTTTCACCGGCAGTACGCCTCTCGGTTGTCCCCTGGGCATGGCATTTACAATGGACATCGGCTTCATCCAACCGCTTTATTATACCGCGCTTAAATGCAGAGTGCCACGAATTCGACGCCACGCAATTAAATTGCTTCGATTAGCTCCTCACCGTGAAGGCATATGGAATGGCATTCGCACCGCCAAGATCGCCGAAGAGGTAATAGCAAAAGAGGAACGAAACATTGTTGAGGGCCTTGCATGCGAGGATGGCTTTGATATACTCAGCCTGCCACAGGTGGGAGATGCGATATCGGTATTGCCTTACCTGTGCCGGATCTCAGACGTCCGTGTTGAATTGCCCGATGAAACCACAGGCGAGGTCACTGTGACTTTTTGGCAGACTGAAGACGGCAACAGCTGGAAGGTGTGTGAGAAAGTGTTCCCTGAGGAAGATTCATGAGCCATCTGTAGCAGAGCTTTGAATGGATATGGGTCCTCATTCTCGGAACTATCTTACGAAGATGTCGCTACAATTCTCGTCACTCGTCAAACAACTGAACGAACCGGACGCTCAACCACGTCGACAGAACATGCCAGTATGCGATCGCATTTTCAGTGACTAACTCCCATGGACAGATCTGGGAGCTTCTATACTACTTACTATCTTTCATGTCCCAGACTAATTATGACATCATGAAAGGGTCATCTTAGCCAATCAGATCCACTGTTATAATATCTTACCGATTATTGACAAAGACACTATGGGGGCCTCACGGCCTCTCCAGCACCTGGAATACGATTACGGTAGTGCAAAATTCAAAATATGGAATCTAACAGCAAGTCTAAATCCGACGAATCTTACACCATGCTCAGTCAATGATTTGCAACCGCCAAAGGGCACACCCGCAACCACGGCTAGACCCCTTAGTCAGTCTTACCCCATGCTTACGGATCCCCGCCCCGCCCGAACCGATCCCGTATTCCGTCCGGGAGTATAAAGTCGATCTTCGATCTAGACAAACGATGAAAGAGTCCCCTTAGAATGCAGATTCCAACACCATCCTACAACCTTCTATTCCTCCTTCCTCTCATCATTCTTCTCATCAAAACAATCCTCCCGACCAATTCCGACATGTCCAAGCCTCTCGCCCACGCCACCATCGTCGCCCGTCGCTCCAGCGAGCGCGGCTACGCCGAACACGGCGGCTGGCTCAAAACCTTCCATACCTTCAGCTTCGCCAATTACTACGACCACCGCTTCAACAACTTCGGCAGTCTGCGCGTCCTCAACGAAGACCGCGTAGCCGCCCGGAACGGCTTCCCAAACCACCCACACCGCGATGCCGAGATCTTCAGCTACATCCTCAGCGGGGAGCTCACACACCGCGATAGCATGATCAAGAAGGGCGCGGAAGGCGAACAAGGGAAACAATTCTACCGTATGAAGCGCGGTGACGTCCAATTCACCACTGGCGGAACAGGTACGTCCATCCCATCCCTCCATTCCCCCCTTCCCAAAAACAAAACACCAAACTAACCCCAACCACAGGAATCGCCCACTCCGAACAAAACGAATCTAACAAACCCGTGCACTTCCTCCAAATCTGGGCCCTACCCTGGAAACACAGCCTCAAGCCGCAATACCATACGCGATCCTTCTCCGAAGCCGCAAAACGTCAAGCCTTCGTTCCCATTCTCTCCCCGCTTGCTGCCGGTCCCGACGCCACCCCCGCCGACGAGGAAGCCGCCATCCCCAAAATCCCCGATACAATTCCCATCCACGCGGACTTTGTCATGGGAGCGGGTATCATCGAGCCCGAGACGACGTTCCAGTGGACGGTAGGGGCCGGGGAAGACGTGGTCAGTCGGAAGAAGAAGCGCAATGTGTATGTGCATTTGCCGATGACGAAGAACGGGAAGGCGCAGATCCGGTTGGATGCGCGGGAGGAGATGGTGCTGGGGGAGGGCGATGGGGCGTTTATTACGGGGGTAAATGCGGGGGATGTTTTGAGGGTGGAGAGTGTGGGTGAGGTTGAGGCTGAGGTGGTGGTTTTGGATAGTGATTAGGTTGTTGACTGGTTGGTAGGTTTGGTTATGGATGGGTATAGAGGCGTTTGGGTTTGATGGCAACTGGAGCTCTTGGAATTTGGGGTCTGAATGATGATGATAATGTGTATTTTTATTTGGCGATCGTATTAGTGTATAGTAATTTCTGCAAATGGCCTTTCTTTGTTTTCTCTCCTGAGAATGTAATCACTGTGGTCTTCTCAGATTTCATGTTGTTGGATTAGTACTGGTAGCGCTGGATGGACCACCCCATCAATTGAGTTGGATTCATTGTTCCACCTGATACATGCTTTGCCAAACTTCACATTGGCTAAGGGCTTTTCTTTCTCTTTCAAGACCTGTAGATCTTGAAGCTATGCTTTGTTGATTGCGGGGACTTATATATACGCCTCCATCACCACATAGTGAAACTCCATACTCTGGAGTCGCCGATACAGTACCACCGAGCAGAAAATGATCCGCTTCAAACCAAGCACCAAATCCTGCTGTGCCGGGCTCCGTGCTCCGCATTACAACCACCACCAACTTAAATTCTCTCCCAATAACCAGTCCAGCAAGACATAGGCAACCTACTCCAACGTCCAAGTGGAGGGCGGTTGGTTAAGGTTGTCGGAGGAATCCACCGGGGCCGATTGTGTGTGCGGCCGACGAAAAAAATCCTGCACCGAGGCGGTGGCTTGGCACCATCAAGGCTGGCTCTGTACGTAATCCGACGGCCGTGAATCGGAGTCGTCTTGGGCTGTCTCCAACTCTCAAACAAGAAGCCTATCTGGTCTAGTCCAGCCCATGTGAGGGGCAAGGATCATGGGACGTCCAGCACTTTCTTTTTGTGCTTTTAGGGATCGTGCTGGGCTTACCTTTGTGCCTGACTCTTGAGACGTCACCATCCCGCCGTGATTTGAATGCTTACTTAATTGCTCGCTCTATCGCGGGGAGAGGCTAATTTTGAACCGCGACCCCAAATTTTTATTTTTTTTGGAGGCTGTTTGCTGGATCGTTGACCTCGTAGCTACGACGGACAGCGGTTTCAGCAAGGGAGAGCAGCCTGAAATCTAAGGCCCCGCATCCTTGCCTTCACTTGTGGCTCGATCTGTCTTCTCCCTGTTTCCCAGCGCACAGTTTCTGGATTGCGGAGAACGTTGTCTACCCATAGAATTAGAGATCGTCGCTTCTCATCGTCATGGCGTCCCTGAATATGAATGGCACATTGCCCGAGCTGGCTGAGCAACAGCCCGAGGACCCTATCCCGGAGTCCCGGATCCTCATCATCATGACTGGTGGTACGATCTGTATGCGACCATCGCCGTCGGGATTTGTGCCAGCCAGAGGATTCCAGGAGCAATGCCTGGCCCGGGTGCCTACGTTCAACGACGGCTCGCACTCAAGTATGATGAACGTGGTTATCAACGCCGCCGGAGAAGTCAAAGGCCATTCATCCCTCCGCACCCCACCGACAGCCTATGGGCGACGGGTGCGATACACCGTCTTAGAGTTCGAAGAGCTCCTCGACAGCAGTTCTATCGACGCGAAGGGTTGGGCTGAGATCGCTCGGACTGTCGAGCGGAATTACACGCTTTTCGATGGATTCGTCGTTCTCCACGGCACGGACAGTCTGGCATACACATGCTCGGCTCTCAGCTTCATGCTGCAAAATCTCGGCAAGCCCGTGATTCTCACGGGTGCACAGGCTCCCATGCTTGAGCTGCAGAATGATGCCACAGATAACCTCCTCGGATCACTGGTTGTGGCTGGCCACTTCATGATTCCCGAGGTGTGCCTATATTTCAACAACAGACTGTTCCGTGGTAATCGGTCGATCAAGGTTGCAGCCAGTGATTTCGCTGCCTTTGACTCACCAAATTGTCCTCCACTGGCCGTGACGACCTCCATGCGCACCAACGTCAACTGGGAGCTGGTCAACCGGCCCAGGAGCCTCGAGCATTTCCGGATTCAAACCAACCTGGACACCACTCACGTCGCGTGTCTTCGTATCTTCCCTGGTATCAAGCCGGAGATGGTTGATGCCGTGCTGAAGCTGGAGGGGCTCCGTGGTCTAGTGTTGGAGACGTTTGGCGCCGGCAACGCACCCAGTGGCCAGGACAATGCCATGACCAACGTGCTGGCAGCCGCTATCAAGAGAGGTATCGTGATCGTGAATGTCACGCAATGTGAGTAGAAACTTTGCAATAATTCCTAATCCAGGGTCCAATCTGACGCAAGAACAGGTCTGACGGGAAGTGTCAGTCCGGTCTATGCCCCGGGCATGAGCCTCTCGCGAGCCGGTGTCGTCGCAGGACTCGACCTGACTACCGAAGCTGCACTGACCAAGCTGGCGTACCTCCTGGCTCTTCCTGATTCTACCCCCGACTGGGTGGCGAAGCAGATGGCTGTCTCTCTTCGCGGGGAATTGACGGAGGTGTCACAACCGGTCTTCCGTCACCCGGACGGGGCGCTCCCAGAACGCGTTCAGTCCCTCACTGTGCTGGGATACGCCATCGCGCAGGGCGATCTCGACCGCGTGCAGGAGATCGTAGCCAGAGAACACCATTGGCTCTTGAACGACGCCGACTACTCAGGCAACACACCTATCGTAAGACCCCCTGTCTCCATCCTCGAGCATTGCTCATGCAAAGGAGCTAACCCGACCACCCACAGCATCTTGCGGCGACATCCCAGTCCATTGACATTCTCCGATACCTGCTGCTTCAGGGTGGTTCTGTCCACTTGCGGAACCGCAATGGCCGCACGCCGCTGTTCCTGGCCGCCAACGCTGGGCTATCGGAGCACGTGCTGCTGCTACGCAGGTCTGGAGCGCATTTGCACTCCGACGAACGCACGGCGGCGCAACTGCTGGCCCGGCGCCGACCAGGTGTTTGGGGGTTGGCTGGGATTGGGCCGCGGGAGGTGAGCGAGCGCGAGATGGAGGAATTGGAGGAATCAAATGATTCTATAGGACGCATGGCACAACGAGTGATGGCGGGATCGGCGCCATGACGATGGCGATCAATTAAGAATAGAGTTTCGATTGTTAAGGTCGCATCCTGCGGCGAAAGCGTCATTCTAAGCTGCCCGTAGCCCGAGCATATTCTCATCAGGTACCGCGCTGTATACAGGAACGAAGGATGGTCATGTTATGACGAGCAACTACCACCTGGAAAGCAAATCGATGGATAGAAATGACGCGGGCAGTGAAGACCCTCCGCGGAGATGCCTGACCGTGCTGCAGGATCCTTGGCCATGCAGGTCGGTCATGCATGTCGGATGGATGGAGGGGGGATGGGCGATGGACTCACGGCCAACCCCGCTTCGCATTGCGCCATGCTCTCAGCCTGCCACGGGGGATATTATTGCCTAGGTACCTACGTCTCACTAGTATCTACTCGGTACTAGTCGGTCTCCTACTAGTCGGAGACTCGGAGGAGCTACCGAGCAGAGATGACTCCGAGGACCTTCCTGATTAGGAGAAAATATGAGCCCGAACAGCTGACCGGGTGGCAGCTGACCAGAAGGGCGGTGGCTGGTTGACCCGATGAGCTAATCTGGCAAGCGCATGTTCTCATTTACTACTAAGTGCTTGGTGCAGTAGCATCTCTCCTATACCAAGGGAACCGTCAGAACAGAAATCATCTGCATGCCGACCCGGTGGAAGCGAGCTGGAAAATCGCGCTCTAGTACGGATGATACTATGGAGTACCAGTAGTGAGTACGGAGTATTAAGTAGTAGTAGGCAAGTACCCCCTAGGGACCACTTGCTGCCAAAACAGCCCCAGAAGGAACAACCGCTGTCTGGGCTTGGCAGACGCGTGAGAGGCTGCGGCGCACGGATTGGCCGACTGGAAGAGTTGGACCGATGGGTCTGGAGAGCAACGTGGGCTGGCCCGGCTTTGTCAGTTGGCCGTCACGGTGAGTTCTGAGCTGAGTGGTACTGACTACCGAGTACTCCGTCGTAGGTGACGGTTCTAAGCAGCTGGACTACGGTAAGCAGCGGACAGACAGCATCGGAGTCCGCTGGGCTGAGGGTGCTCTGCAGTAGTAGAAGAGGTGGAATGCAGAAACCTTTGCTCAGGCACTCCGTACTTCGTACAGCGTACACAGTACTCCGTACTAGTAAACGGCTGCTGGTACCAAAGCTGGAGGTCGGTGGCTGCCCCCGAAGTCGATCAGTGGGCGGTGGTTGCTCCCCCGCCCGCACCCCTCATTGGCTGGGACTTGCCGGGATCGGACGGTCTTTGATAGAACTTTTTCTTTTGGCGCTCATCGCCAGCCCAGCAGAATCACCGCGTGCCCGCCAGATCTTAGTTGTCGCCGTTAACGCTGGAGGCTGCATGTGTCCCCCAGAACTAGAGGATAGCCCACGGGTTGAGATCACGCCCTGCAATAGGCACTATCCCCAGATGGACCATTAGTGCGACCACAGCAGTGGAATAGAGATACCCTTCTGATGCCATCATCCACCCATCATTATCATCACCACCACGGGGAACGACTACTCCTGACTGCATCCCGAGTTACGTAAAGGAAAAACGGTCAATGGCCACCCTCAACGGGGAGATCGTGGGCAGTTCTGGCGACATCCTCTAGCACCAAGGTCCCGCTTCATGTCAGGGCTCTTGATCTGGTTGCCTCATCTGCCGAGCAGGGCTGTCATCCCCGGCTTTGGATCAGGGCATCACGCAATCATTGGAAGATAGAGGGAATCCCACACAAAGAAGAGGACCCCCAGGAACGGCGGCTGAGTACCTTGGAATTGCGCAAGCCGGCCAGAGTTTGCAACCATCTGACACCGTTCCCTTGCATTCTATGACTGTTTCGCATTACTCGATATAAACCACATCGGAAAGCACATCGGAACCGATTCCTTCACATCATGGGACCGGGTTGGGATTCTAGCCAGGATTTGGTCCGCGACGGGGTTTGTGGGAGGAGTCAAAAATTCACTCATGGGGGCCACCTGCTATTTAGATACGAACCCCAGACGATCCCAATCCAGACCAGTCGGTGGCCATTGTTGGCTCCTCAGGTCCCCGTTTGCCGCAGGACACAGACCGCAGTTACTTACTTATACTACATCGCTTCCAGGCCCCGAGCACACCGACTTGCCCGGGGGGGTTCTATTTCTGATACCAGACCGACTGCCTCTTTTAAACCCAGCCTGCTGCGTAGTCACGAAACTTTCTCTTCCCTCCTTCCTGGTATTCACACAGACTGTTCCTCCACCATCTGATAAAGCTTGTGCAGTGTCTCTCCCCTGACCAACAGGGCTGATTAGGGTCACTGTGGGCGCGAATCTCGGAACCAAGCACTAGACCTGCTCCACGGCGCTTTTTTTTTTCTTTTATCCCTCAACTTTTTAGCACTGTTTTTTGGTGTCGATTTCTGCACCACATTAATTAAATTCTTTTTTCCCCATTGCCTTTTTTGATTTAATTTTATTTCTTTTACTTTTTTTCCCCTGTCGTCTGAAATTTCCCAGGAGTGTGAGGTCATTTCCTCGCCTGGCGGCAGACCGGCCTGGGGGTGTCCACTTGTCGGCCTCGTTGGAGCATCCGGTGATTCCTATTATTCATATTAACCTCTGAACGAGGGAGATCCGTGCCTACGACGCAGGAGGCGCTGCTTCTCATTAACTAACAAAAACCGGGATTTGGCGAGCAGCCGGCTGTGTTGTCTGAAGTTGGAGCATTCAAGATCTCCTCATCTGCCGCCATCTCCAACATCATCCATCTTTTTCTGGTGGTGGTGGTACCTTCGTAGTTCCCACACCTCTACAGAACTGCAGCAACCTCAGCTCTCTTATCTTTTCTCTTGCACCATCGATTTCTTCGATTGCGGCATTATCGAATCATCTATCCTCAGGAATCATATTCCACTGAGCTATATAACCTCCGTCCCTCGTGCGCGCCGCCGCCAACTGTCGGTCTACCCCACTGTTCCAGTCGTCGTCAAGTACTGCCCCGACGACGAACAACAATAAGCAGTTCCCTGACGATTGCAACATCCGAACACACCTACAGCTTTGCTACCACCACGAAATAGCTGGAACGTTCCGGCCTCACCACGACTCGTCTCCTACGTTGGCATACTACCACCTGACCAGACTCCAGTTCCATTGGTCTGCCCAACTTACCTCGTGTTCGACCGCTGGTCGTTCCCTTCCGACCTTCTCCTGATTTTCTACCCCGCATCTTTTTTTACTTTTTTTTCTCTCTCCCTCGTACTAATCCCCCCCCCGGCGGAGATTTTCTCTCGTGCCGCATTTCCCCCCTTCCCCGCTACAACTCATGACACAACAAAGAAAGACCATTGCGGTGGTGAACGCTACGGGTCGCCAGGCTGCGTCCCTGATCCGCGTCGCTTCGGCAGTGGGCCACCATGTGCGCGCCCAGATTCACTCCCTGAAAGGCCTCATTGCGGAGGAATTGCAGGACCTGCCCAATGTGACTCTGTTTCAGGGCCCTCTACTGGGCAACACGGCACTGATGGACGCCCTTTTCCAAGGAGCCAATCTTGCCTTCATCAACACCACCTCACAATCCGGGGACGAAGTCGCGATCGGACGTGCCTTGGCTGATGCTGCCAAGCGAGCCGGAACAATTCAGCACTACATCTACAGCAGTATGCCCGACCACTCTGTGCATGGACCATGGCCACCGGTGCCCCTATGGGCGCCCAAGTTCACCGTGGAGAATTACGTTCGGCAGCTTGGCCTGCCCTCGACCTTTGTCTACGCGGGGATCTACAACAACAACTTCACGAGTTTACCATACCCTCTGTTCCAGATGGAGCTGATGCAGGATGGAAGTTTTGAGTGGCACGCTCCATTCGACCCGGATATTCCGCTACCCTGGCTGGATGCCGAGCACGACGTGGGACCAGCGCTGCTGCAGATCTTCAAGGACGGTCCCAAGAGGTGGAATGGTCACCGGTAGGTTTTCCCGGTCTCCAGTCGTGTGGTGACGTGTCGCTAAGAGCTGATGACTGCAGGATCGCGCTCACGTTCGAAACCCTCTCTCCCAACCAGGTCTGTGCGGCGTTTTCGCGCGCACTCGGTCGCCCATGCCGCTACCTCCGCGTCCCTAAGGTCGAAGTGAAAGTCAACATTCCGCCCGGCTACCGAGAACAACTGGAGGCACTGGAGGTGGTGTTTGGGCAGTGCGACGCGCCTTACTTTCCGCAGCCCGAATTCTCCCGCCCTGCGGCCGGGTCACCGAAGGGCCTGGGTCCGGCCAATGGCAAGGGCGCGGGCGCGGGAATGATGCAGGGTCCCGGAGGAGTCATATCGCTTCGTGTCACGGACGAGGCCCGGCACTTGTGGCAGGGCTGGCGCGACATGGAGGAATATGCGCGCGAGGTCTTCCCAGTGGAAGAGGAGGCCAACGGGCTGGACTGGATGTTGTGATGGAGCGATCGGAGTTGCTGGGTTGCACCACTGTCGGTGAGCGACGGGGGCAGCCGCAAGGTCGCGTGAGCGATGGCGCGATTGGCTCGATAGGAAGGTTACATTGTCTGAGCGCAGACCGAAGTCGGCCGGCCGCTCTGTCCCTCACGCGGATATGACGCAGTGTCTGTCCTGTTTCTTTTTCTAAAATCGTTCATGCATTACTGGCGAACTGGCCTGGGTCTTATCTTTGGGAGACGGAAAAATTATACCATAATGGGAAAGACGAAGACGAAAGAAGGAGTGTTTGTCATGATGGCCCATCTCATCTCATCTCGTCACACCGCGACAAAAGTTCTATATTAATGGGTTGCTGGCTGAAACGCACGTTACGAAATATGCAGGCATGATGAAGGACATGTCGGATTGGAGGCCAATCCGCCAAAAGTTTTGAATATTGTTATCGCGATCCTTTTCCTTTTTTACTCTCTTATCTTTCCATTTCGACTGATTTGCATTCATGTGTTGCCGATTATTCCCCTCGGGTGTGATGATCGCACCGGCGGCTGTTTGCTTGATTGACCTGATGATTTGATTGATTGTTTGCTTGCTTGATTGATACTCAAGACCCGGTGACTTGGGTAGATAGCAAAGCTAATATTGGAATGGACTAATCTCCCTCTCAGTCCGCCCCTACTGACATGACCTGCCTTATCATCGCGGGCTCTGACTAACTCCTTACATGATTAAGACCAAACTGCAGCATACCATGGTCACCACCCTTGACACGCCACGACTGATAGATAACCAGATAGCACTGCCCACCTCTCCCCGGATCCGTCGATTAAGCTATGCCCCGACAAAGCTAATCCGCCTCTCGTTCGCCACCGATAAGCAGATCCGCCGTGCCAACTGGGTCCCGGAAAAAGCAACGAACCCCTCCTGAGCCCGAAGCGGCGCCGACGGATCCTTGTCGTGGCGGGGGTTAGTGCAGGTCATATCGATGGTAAGTTATCTGGGGATTTGTCAGGTTGACCTGGATGTTGTCTGCAGTCTGACAGGTCGGCTGAGCCTGAACGGGGTACGGAGTAGATGAGACATCGTAATTATATCCCATTGCTTTATAGTTACTTACTCCGTACTCTGTACTACCTTTTCTTAAGGTCACGAGATGTACGGGCTTTCTAATATCCGCGAAATACAATGTGTACATGGTATATGCACACGCTACCTGCAATCAATTGTTTCTCTTCCACAAAGAAATAATCATCCTTGCCATTGTTCTCTATGAATTTGGTTTGTACAACGTCACGACGTCTATGTATAGTTACTATGTACTCCGTATCTCCTTCCTCTACTCACCATCTCATCCCCTATCTACTCCGCACCTTCAACCAAGTACTAGTACCCCCTACCTATCACCCACCACCCAAACAACTAACTCATCATACATCGATCCCCCTTCCCACACATACTTAATCTTTTCCTCTTCCAACACTTAGCCACATAAAATGCCACTTCACATAACAAATCAACTGAACGGAAATAGTTCTTCCCGAACCCGTCCCTCATCACCACCACCCACCACCCCTTAGTCATCCCTCCCAGCGCCTGCCCGCCCACCTTAATCAGCTCCCTACTCCCTACGTCCTACTCCGTACGCCGTACGCCGAACGCCGTACGGAGTACTAATAACGTAGTAATCAACGCCCCCCCGGACCCAGACCCTCCGCCCGTGCAACCTACCAGAACCAGCATAGCTAAGTAGCTTAGGTAGCATAGTAGTAGTTAGTTAGCTGACTGCTCACTGCTGAATCAGAATGATCCTATTAGCCCCGGAGCACATGCGCGCGCTCGCGCGTCTCTCCGCCCCCGATCGAAAGTAAACTTTTCTGAAACACCAGATTTTTTTTCCCTTCCCTTCCCTTTTCTTATCTATCACTCATCACATACATACCTTTAAGCCAAGAAGGAAAACATTCCAATTTGTTGGATTATCCCTTCTTTTTATATATATATTTATCTCTTGGTTAATTGAGGAGTCGCTGTATTTAGGCTGGTTTAGCAATCATGTCTGCTGAAGAAGCTAACACGTCGTTGTTGGAGCGCATTCAGCGGCCTGAGGTGAGCAAGGAGACGGCGAAGAAGATTGCGCTGGTGGAGGAACAGTTTATTCGGGCGGAGGTGGAGCAGTGTATGTTTCTCTTTCTTTTTCCTTCCTTTGGAATTGGGGTATGGATGATTCTGATTCTAACTATGGGGTACCTAGTGCGTCACTCTACTTTGCTCCTTCGTCCCCTTTTCGAAAAGCGCAGCCAGGTCATTGCTGAGCCCGATGTTCGCGATACTTTCTGGACCCGTGTCTTGCTTAACGCCCCCGCCGAGGTCGAGGAACACATTACCATGATCGATGCCACTATCCTCGCTTCCACCCTTAAGAACCTCACCGTCGAGCGATTCGAGATCGATGAGAAGGGCCAGGGCGAGCCCCGCAGCTTCCGTCTGACTTTCGAGTTCCGCACCGGCGATGAGAACCCCTACTTCGAGAACGAGAAGCTGGTCAAGGAGTTCTACTGGCGCAAGCAGGTCTTCACCACTACCAAGGGCCACAAGCGCACCTGGGACGGTCTGGTTTCGGAGCCCGTTCGCATCAACTGGAAGAAGGACCAGGATCCCACCAAGGGTCTGCTCGATGCCGCTTGCGACCTTGCCGAGGCGGAGAAGAAGGGTGGAGACCGTAAGAAGCTGCCCGAGTTCGCCAAGGTCGTTGAGAAGCGCGAGGAGATCGAGGCGGCTGAGGGCCACGAGGAAGACGAGGACGAGCTCCCGGAAGACGGCTTCGGTGGCATGAGCTTCTTCGCTTTCTTCGGCTACCGTGGTAGCGACGTCACTGCCGAGCATTCTCAGAAGGCGACTAAGGAGGACAACGAGAGGTTCGAGAAGCTTCTCAAGGGCGAGTCGGTCGACGACGAGGACGAGGATGACGATGAGGATGACGACGTTGAGGATGATTTCGATGACATTGAAGTCTTCCCCGGCGGTGATGAGCTCGCCATCGCAATCGCCGAGGACCTCTGGCCCAACGCCTTGAAGTATTATGGTGAGTGCTATCCCCACTGTATAGCCAATTCCAAGCTGACGTTCCAGTCACGGACCAATCCATCGAGGAAGTCGACTTCGACGACAGCGAACTCGACCTCTCGGTGGACGAGGAGGAAGAGGAAGAAGAGGAGAACGACCGTCCTCGCAAGAAGACCAAGGTCTAAGGGTGTCGCCATGTCTTGAATAATGCAACTGTATCCATATGTTTCCATGTCTTAAAGAACAATGAGCAGGATCAGGAGGAGGACCAAAACGAATATGAGGACGGCAATGCAAAAGGACGACATTGTATCTAATTGATAATCAGCCAAGTTTCAGGATAACCCATCAATGTAAACAAACTGCAGCGTAACCACTTACCCTCATTCTTCCGGATAATGTATTTGAGCTTCGACATGCCGTTCTGCAACTTGCCTCCCACACGGTCGGCCAACGTATCCACCTCATCTAGCATGACCCCCTGCTCTTCCAACTCCCTCCCCATATCATCAGCCTGCTGTCGCAAGTTGCCCACAGTCCGAAACACCCCATCCAATTGCTCATCCTGCTCATGCATCAACTCCATCTGTCGCTGCTGCTCCATCGCAGCATAGTAATCATCCCCCCGATCCTCTGCAGACGGCGATAAAACATTATCAAAGTCTGCCGGGTTTGGTAGTCCACCACCAGCAGCGCCTCCCGAAGCCGTAACAGCCCTCTGCAACTCCTCCCTCATCTTCTCAATCTCGGCCCCGACATCATTAACTAAAATCCGGCGGCGCTGGACCTCTTCCAATTCCAGACCAAACCGATACGGATCTTGCTCGATTGCACGCACACTCTCAACTAGATCGTCTAGGTCTGCGGTCAGATCTGTGAGTGTTGTCTCGAGCTCCGAGCGCGCTTGTTGGAGCTCTGGATTGCTGGGTGATTTGGCAAGGGATCGGATGCGGAGATAGGAGGAGAAGAGAGGGCGCGTGGATTGAAGGGTGGAGAGGACATCGCTGTTGGATTGGAGCTACGTCAGCTGGCTTCTTGTTGTAGATTGGGTTAATAAGGGGGGCCTTACGCTTGGACTTGGAGGAAGGGGTCTGCGTGATCCATCGTTGTTGTGCGATTGGGTATATACTATGGGGAGGTCATGAGATAATTACATAGAATAGGTTCAAGAGCGCTTGCTGATGTGCTGGTCAATGCCGGCGATAGTGATGTTGATTGGGTTGAGTCGAGGATCCGGCCATGATTACGGATGCCCGTTGTTCCGGGCGGTGAACAAGGCGGCGTCGGGCCGTATCGAAGATCTAGAAAGTAGAGCATATTTTCTTGCTACTAAATAGTCGCAATATGATGACATTCTTGTTATCCTCTAAGTGCATCCAGTAAAGTGACAAAGAATGATCCCAGCTCATCCAATGACAGTGGTAAAAACGCCCATGGTAAACGCCCGATGAAGACCGACGTGTCGCTGACTCCACATCTCTCTCAGGTATCGCTCTGCAGCACGATTAAACTCTCTCCCTCGGGCATCAATCAGCGCAGGCTTGACACTCCAACTTCTGACTCGTCGCTTGCAGTCACAGTCCTGGCAGCCTAGATCGGGGACGTTCTTCCATGCTTTCCAGTAATTATCGAGCGGGTCTGAGAAACGGCATTTCCTAACACCGCAATCAGTAGCTTTCACTTCAAGGTCGCAACATTCGTTCTGAGGACTCAAGAACAGCTTTGCCAGTGACCGTGGTGGTTGTTTCAGAAGAAACCATGATATGACGCTGTATTCGTTCTTGGCGTCCCGGTGCCAATCCTTGGGCCCGTGCCGGAGAAGCATACGTTCCATCAGCTCTCGCAACATTCGCAGAGAGGCGTGGAAGTCGATTTCGGTCTGCTCGTCAAGCCATCCTCGGAATTCCAACCGTCTCCTTCCTATATCAGCCTCCACATGCCCCCATTTCAACACCGTATAAACGTGATTGGTGTAATCTTCGAATGACATCATCTGTTTCCTGTGCTGGGGAAGCTCATCGTACTCATCCAGCATCTTTCCGAGCACAAAGAGACGCCCACTGACAACAGGTGCCAAAGGTTTCCTGCGATGTTTGAGTCTTTCCGTGTCGCGGGCAATGTCCGCCATGTGAAAAAGAACGAGCAAGCCTCGTTCCAAGCGCTGGGCGAGGCGCAACTCCGCATCAAAGTTCATCTCCGGACTCCCATCGTCGCAGAACGGACCCCATACGGAGGGTACAATATGTCGCGATAGGTCTTTGGCGATGTTGTGGCGCTGAAAATACCTCACAAAGGAGTGCACCGTCAGTGCATTTTGCTCGCCTGTCCATGGGTTCAGGGTAAGAATGGGGTCGAATTCGTCGATTCCATGGAAGCGCATGAACCACCCGCAGATGTGTGGCTCAAGCATCCGAATCGTCTCGTATGTAGCCCGGTTCAGACGGCAAAGCGTTAAAACCGCGTTCACCTCCCCATTGATGATGATCTGAAAGAGGACATCAGCGACGAAGCCGAAGGGGAGGGCTTCCCGCCTCGGAGATGAGGTCAACATCTGCTTGACGAGGCGGATCAGTATGGGACATCTCTTGCGCATTTGCGGAGCCGCTTGGCTGCTTGTCGACTTGTTCCGGAAGATCATCCCGACTTACCGTGGTTCGGCGCAGATGTACCTCTCGAGTGGTACTGTGTCTAGACGGCCAGGCGTGACATCGCCCTCTTTAATAACCGGCCAGAGGGATTCGCTGTTTCTTTTTCTTGGCAGTAAGGGGAAATATTGCCGTTTGGCTGATATCGAACGTAGACGGTGTGACGCGTTGGCAGATTATCAGTTGGGTGCTTGGCTGCAGTGGTGCATACCGGAGGGCTGAGTACGCAGGATGCAGAATGCAACCGCCGAACGACAGTAAAGCTGACTGGTCACCCTGGGGCCCTTATATAATACGTGGTACCATTTCCGGCTTAAAAACGCCTCGAGGAGAGTGACAGGCACTGACCACGTTTCAGGGTGTCAGTGTATCAGGCAATCGAGAGACTACGGATTGGGGGAAGAGGGAGAAGAGGGGGATGGATGGGTTGCCAACAGAGGCCCGACTGCTGTTTGCCTTGATGATGCTGGGCTCCCAAACGGGTCGCAAGTCACACGTAGCACCTAGAACCGGACGAACTAGTGCCTGCTGAGTGTCGCAGGAGACACATGGAGGGTCTATGTATGGTTAAGCATGAGATCAGCGGCGGTCCTGGACCACTATCCCTTATAGTTTCAATAGCGCCCTCGGGGATAGTCGCCAGGGGCTGACGGGGAAAGAATGGAGACGGAAGTCAATATGGGCGCGCTAAGAACGTGTCGCCGTGAGATTCATGGGACCAATGGATTGAGACTGATGCCTGGATGGGACACGGGCAGCGAAGGTCAGGAGAGGGGTAGAGGAGGTTGATGAGTCGAGTTCTGGTGTTCAGTCCAGAGGGTCTCGTCCGTCTCCTCCGCAACTTGCTTAGTTGCTTGGGGGTTATCAGTGGAGCCGACCGGGGCTAAACCCAATCCGCGCTCTCTATCGATCGCCCCTCGAAAAATTCTGGGTCGATAAACGATTAATCCATCATCACAATCAAACCCCCCACGACCTCTATCCTCGTTTCCTTTCCCCCCCGCATTATTCGTCCCTACGATTGGATTTCTCCCGCCAACGTCTTCACGGTCTTCCCGGTCCTGGTCGGATGTCATCCATCCCGCATATCGATCCCAGTCTAGCCCGGCTTCGCTGCAATCGCAACTAACGCATGATTCCGTCGCAACCCCTCCCACTCTCCGAAGAGTGGACGGATCCGGATGCCTACGTCGAGGCCCTCCTTTCTTTCGCCAATTCTTCCGCCATCTTTAGGCACCTTTGCGGCGGTGTGCATATCCTCGATTTCCTGACCCGCGAACCGGACCTGTATACCTCCCTGCTCCCGGAACATTGGAGGTCCTTTTTCGACAAGCATGATATTCAGGATATCTTGGACCTTCTCCTGCGAGATGACATCCGGCCTCTATTAGACCAAAGTCGGGAGGCTGTCGCGCATAGTAGAGAGCCAGATGCAAGTGCACAGTGGCGAGGGGCTGCCCTGCCCCCGCTGGACCTGCTGGAGTACATCCATCAAATCCGTCGACTGAGCCTGGGAAGAGACTTCACCCCTCAACAGCCCGGAACACCAACCATACCCAGGAAGATCGCGGTGGGAATGAATGTGAAAAAGTACCATGAGGTGGCGCACTTTTCCAAGTACGTTGATTCCTTGTGTGCCACGGTGGACGAACAACGAGGCGATCCGATCACACACGTCGTTGATTTCGGATCGGGCCAGAGCTACCTTGGGCGTACACTTGCGTGTCCTCCTTACAACAGACACATTGTTGCCATTGAACGGAAACACCAATTCATCAGCGGCGCGAAGGGCATGGATATCCATGCCAAACTGCAGGAGAAGAAAAAAGTCAATATGTACAATAAGAAGCTTGCAAACTGCAAGACCTGTGTGGAGCCAGAGGTGCACACAGCGACTAATACAGATGTCGGGGAGTCTCCAAATGAAAATAGCAATGCCACAAAAGAATCTACAGATGTGGCGGGCGGAGACGGAGAAGATGTCGCCATGATAAATGTCTTCCGTGACATTAGTCTTGCGCCACACGAAATAGGTTCTGCTCCTCATCGCAATGTTCCCAAACCCGCTGCAGAGGAGGAAGTGGATCCAGAGAAACCGAGAGGTAGAATGGACTATATCGAGCATGAGATCAAGGACGGTTATCTCGAGCCCATCATCAAAGACGTTATTGAGGCTGCGCCTGCCGAGGTGGAGACACAAACCCAGGGCGATTCTGCTGCAAACGCCGACAACAATGCCAACAGCAAATCGAAGGATGCCAACGTCATGGTCATCTCCTTGCATTCTTGCGGCAACCTCCTTCATCACGGAGTCCGGTCTCTGACTCTGAACCCTTCAGTCAAAGCCATTGCCATGATCGGCTGTTGCTACAATTTAGTCACCGAGAGACTTGGCCCTGCAACCTACAAGCTTCCCATTCTCCGATCGATGCATCCCCGTCTGACAAAGGATGCTGTCGCCTACGACCCTCATGGCTTCCCAATGTCGAAACGCTTCGAGGACTATGAGCATGAGAGTGGAACTGGCATGAAATTAAATATCACCGCCCGCTCCATGTCCTTGCAGGCCCCCTATAATTGGAGCAGGAAAGATAGTGAAGACTTTTTCACGCGCCACTTCTATCGGAGTCTTCTCCAGCGTATGCTCGTGGACCGCAAGATAGTTTCGAAGCCCAAAAATCCAGACAATCTTTACGAAGAATCAACCGACCTCGAAGATGCGGGGAACCCTTTGATTGTGGGATCTCTGCGAAAGTCGGCTTTCGTTTCGTTCTCCGCGTACGCTCATGCCGCAGTGACGAAATTGGGTCGCGACCCGAATTTCGGCGAAAAAGTCAAAGCCGGAATGGCGGATTTGTCTGAGGAAGATTACGACCGCTATGTGAAGGATTACTGGTATGCGAAGAAGAACCTGAGCGTGGTCTGGAGCTTGATGGCTTTCAGTGCTTCCCTGGTCGAGGCGATTATTGTCGTTGACAGATGGCAATTCCTGCGTGAGCACGAATCGGTAAAGGAGTGCTGGGTTGAGCCCGTGTTTGAATACAAGGAAAGTCCCAGGAACTTGGCCGTCATTGGAATCAAGAAATGATTTGATCTGCGGCCCGCTTTTCTTGGAATCCGATCAACCCTATCGCCTATACTTCCCGATAATTTCGAGGTGGCTTCACAGCTTCAGTCCTGGCCGTGGTTGACTCGCCACCGGCTCCGTATCACTCATTGGAGTTATTGAGCGACAAGGGTCATCCCGGCATGGCCCGAAGAGGTTCTAAGACTGGGTGGTTAATCGACATGCCGACCCTGGATGCACATAAAAACCAACATAGACTTGCTAGGTCTTGCACCTAGCTGCGATGCGATCACGAATACAATGCATTAGACGAATAGAATATTTAGCGGATCTATCATCCTCCCGCTTAGATTATTTGCTATGGATGGGGTTTAACGTAGAACCGGCTCTGCATATGCAAGGGTGACTGCTGCCTGACACTTGCATAGGCCAAAATGGCCAAAAGGTGGCAGCGCTGGAGCTTCGGAGGGGATATCCGGAGTTCAGAAGCAACACGAGCAAACAAGCGAGTGATGCCAGAGAATCTGAGAGAGCGCAAAGTTCGTTCCACCAGCGGTCGGGCCCCGCGGGTTCCGAGCCATGGCCTGTCTCAGCTGCAACCACACCACCGGTTGCTCGAGCCCCTCACCAAACCCGGCGCGACTAGAGAGGAACAGGATCCATTATCTCGAGAAGCTTAACTAGATGGAACCCGAGGGACCCGAGAGTGATAGGGAGCCGGTGGTCAGGCGTGCCGTAAGTCCAAGTTGCACCGCATGCCATAGTCTGCCGCTTGACTCTAATATGCTGACGAATGCCAGTGTGACCAATGCCGCCTCAGAAAGGTACGTACTGCCTAAGAGCTGCAGTCAGCCAGTAATTGACGTGGCTTCCGCTTCATGGATGGTGGACGATGTAATACTTATGCTTGGACTAGATACGCTGCGACAAGCGATCGCCCTGCTCTAATTGTCGCAGTTCCCAAATCGTATGCCGCTCAACCGGTGCCGGCCAGAAGCCTCCGGAGCCACGGAAGCGCGTTTTGATCTCGAGCCAGTAGTATGTATGACAGGTCTACTCTTCGAGTTAGCTGACCTTGTACAGTGAAAGGAAGATCGATCTCATCGAAGAACGCCTGGGGAACATCGAGCGCATTCTCCTGGAACTTAGATCGAGCGCCAAGGGTGCTTCGGAGCCATGCTATCATTCCACACCTCTGTCCAGGCATCTGAGCCCATCTGCTGCCAATTATAGTAACACCACTGCTGCTTTGGATCAGCATGAGTCTACCTCCGCCTTTGAAGGCAATTCATCCCTCGCAGCTCATTCTGCATACGCCAGGGAGTTCCTGGAGACAGCCGTTTCACGCAATGCGCTGCAGATATCAACACCAAAAATTAGCACTGCTCTGGCTTCCTTGAAGCAGATGGTCAACATGCAAGACCATCAGGCACAGTTGCCACCCCGAGAAGTCCGGCTCCCAAATCAGAAGGCCATTCCTGACTCGGGATTGCAGGAGCTACCGTTGCCTCCGGTAGACTTGGTTCTGGCGATCCTGCGCAAGTACAAGAGTAGGTTTGATTACGCGACATTTCATGGTTTCTCCTTGTTAATGTGCTGTCAGGCCAACCCAGTGTTATACAGACATACTTTCCTTTTCTCTCAATCGAGCGTCTGGTTGTGAAATGCCGCGAGGTGTACTTTGCCACGGAAGTATACTCTGATGCCACCTTCATAGTGATTAATGGGGCTCTTTACTACCTGATCAGCGACATGATCTCCACAATCGAGAATAAAGATACCAGGGACGAGTATGAAAGGCATCTGAAACTTTGTCAGGTCAACCTCGAAACCGCCTTGGCCAACTTGAGCCTCTTTATGCCCGCGACGATCGAAAACATTGAAGCCCTTGCTTTAGGGGTAGGTGCAGTAACGTACCCCATTCTTGTATGAAACTAACCATTGCCAAGGCTGTCTATGCTATTGAAATGTCAAAGCCATCCTTTGCGATGACGTTGACCTCAACGGCATTCCGCTTATGCCAAACGCTCGGATTTCATCGGTCACCCTCATTAGAGAAGAGCAGTAAATCCGTCCAGGGGAATATGCTATTCTGGACAATCTATATTTTAGATAAAGCAGTATCCTTGCGGCTGGGACGCGCGTCAACCATCCAGGACTATGACATCACTTCGTTGGAAGGCCTCGATCTGACCGGAATAGCGGAACCATTCAAGAGCATCTACCCCTTGTGGGTGAAACTCGCCACAATCCAAGGCAAAACCTACGAATTGCTTTACAGTCCTGCGGCTTTGGCCCAACCAGAAAATCAAAGGATCTGTCATGCTCGCCAACTAGCTTCTGAGATGCAGCAGATGGTCATGGAGCCATTCGAGGTTTGTACCCTTAACAATACATCCATCACCATTCTAATATCCGCTAGAAAATCAAATTTGACACAAACATGTCTGCTGTCGATGAGGTTTTCATCAGATCTGACAAAGTTGCCCGCTTGTCGGTTTTGTCTCTGATATACCGGGCCATTCCTCCACAGGAGGCACAAGGTACATTCATCTATGAATGCATCGAAACAGCCCGGTCAGCCCTCGAGGTGCATCATAAGTGTATGTTGGATGTAAAGAAGATGAACGAGCTCATCAAAGCTGCGTACTTTCACTGGTAAGCTGCAGGCATTCACACACTTTCTTGATCTAATACGTCGCTCGCCCAGGACAATCCTTTATGCACCGTTTGTCCCATTCATAGTGATCTTCTGCCACGCAATTGCCGTTTCATCCTGGGAAGACCTCGCTCGACTGGAAGACTTTGTGGCTTCCCTGCAACCCAACTGTTTCCTCTCCGAAGCTATCGCGAAATTGTACCAGCTATGTCAAGTCCTCAGCAATGTTGCTAGGCTGTACATCGAAGCAAAGGAACAGGCGCAGACCAAAGAGGATCAAAACCTAGCGTCAGTCGGTCAGGAATTCGACGTATATCTTAGCGCACTTGGATTGGCACCCATGTCCACTGATGACAGTGAAGGCCAATGGCCATCTGCCTCTGCTCCTGCCGGATCGGTTCCTGAAGAAATAAGGGGCACAACGGAGGGTCAGTATACTGCGGCAATACCGCAGACCAGCCAATTAGGGAACTGGTTCTCGGGGAATCAGCATATGATGGGCTTGTTGGAAGAGGACCTTTCATTCTTTGATCCTTCTTCTTGGGCATAGCCATGGTAAGTGTATCCACCCCTTTGTGCGCCTTTTTAAACGTGACTCAAGTTTCATTGACTACCAAGACAACTAACTTGAAGTGCAGATCACCAGGATAACATCCTACATGTCATTTGATCCTTGCCAACCTCATGGACTAGATACACTTACCACCGTCGATGATCATTTCTGCCCCATTGATAAAGCGACCCTCGTCGCTAGCCAGATATAGACACATGTTCGCGACGTCGTCTGCCTCCGTGAGCCGGCCCAGCGGCACATTCCCGATAAACTTCTCCCGATTCTCCGGCGTATCCGGCATTCCTGTGAACATGGAGAACAAGGGCGTAGCGGACAAAAGAGGGCAGACCGAATTCACCCGGATGTTGTGTGGGCCATACTCCGCCGCCAGACCCTTGGTCGCCTGGTATCATCAGCACTCAGCCCCCACAACAGCAAAAGGGTAAAAAAGGCAAACGTTGACCGACATTCGACACGGCCCCTTTGGACGCATTATACCACACCAAGCCCGGCCGGGGTCTCGACGCCCCCGTCGACGAGATGTTGATCATCGACCCTCCCTGTCCCTGCTCAATCACCCGGGTCACAAACGCCCGACTGCCCAAGAAAATCCCCTTCACGTTCACATTGAACACCCGCTCCCATTCCTCCTCGGTAACTTCCACCGTCGGCTACAGCCGTCAGCCAATCTTCACCTGAAATCAAAAAAACAAAAAGCGGAAGGGATACCTTATTCCGATACGTCACCCCCGCATTATTCACCAACACATCCAACCTCCCGAACTGCGAAAACGCCTTGTCCACCACCCGACTCCAATCCTCCGCCTTGGTGACATCCATCTGCTCAAACACAAGGTTCTCGGGATCCTGAGCCGCGGTCTTCTGACCCCCTTCGGTACTGATATCCGCGACGACGACCTTGGCTCCCTCGGAGGCGAACCGTTGCGCGATGGCGGCGCCGAAGCCAGATCCGGCTCCTATATCCAAAATTAATAACGAAATGTATTTTATTCCGTGAAGTTGTACGTATATAATCATCCTTCACCAATAGACAAAAGCAAGAAAAGTAAAACAAGTAAGAGAAGAAGAAAAGGACGAACCCGTAACGATAGCGACTTTCCCCTCCAACCGGGATCCAGGAGTTAGGACTTTCGTCATCTTGAGACGTGATTCTTAAGTTCTTCTCAAAGGCCAATAAGATAATAAGTAAATCCGATAAGTTCTGACGAGAACAAATACAGTATAGACTTACGCAGCCAGCTGAGATGGAAATCAAGGACGTAGACGATGGTGGTGATGTTATCTCCCTATCCATCCTACCCCGCTTGGAAAAGGCATTCTAACACGTAGTACGACGATTACTGTGCTAAAAGAGGGGTATGCAGGTCCATTGGTTGGTTGGTTGGTTGGTATCGTGCGGAGATGCGAACCTAAAAGAAGGCAAGAGAGGAGGGGGTGGTGTAACGGGAGGAAGTCCGGGACCGAGGATCTGCGGTAAGATACTCCGTACAAGACAGAGTACTCCGTATTGGGGGGGGGTTACTGTAAATTGGAAGCGTTGTGGGGGTAAGTAATAGATACGGTAAGTAGGTAGCTAGCGAGCTGTATTGGGATTCGGTCTGGCTGGCTGGGATGGATAGATTAACGGATCCGATCCCTGGATACTAGCAGGGATATGCGGAGGGGATGGTTGGTACTCGGTATTTTCCTCTCCGGGGTGAGTGGAAGAAGCGGCTTTTTGGTGCGACAGGTACATGTTTCGTGTAGACTGATTGAATACCGGGGTTCTATCTCGGTGTGGTTATAGACATAGATCAAAAAGTATGTACATGAAGGGTTGGTTATTTATTCATCCTCGAATCTGATCTCTCTCTGTTTTCTTAATGTCGGCTCATCCTCGTCCCTTGTCGTGCTTGCATTTCGTGCCTGGATATCAATATACCGAATCAGACTTTCGCAGAGCCGATTTAGAACCCACTCCGGCTCGGTCTCCGTCGCTAACATCGGACTCGTTTTGCCAATCCAGTCCCAGTTCAGGATGCCATAGTCATCCTCGTGTATTTCTACTCTGTCGGGGCTTGGATCCGTGAACCGAATGAGTCGCGTGAACGCTACCCACTCTTCGTAGCTATATCGTTTCGGATCTCCCGCCACAACGTCCTTGGTCGTTCGCTGGATCGCATATGCGAGTTGCTGTGCAAGCTGGAAGCCTGAGGAGGCTGCTCCTGACGCATTCCCTGAGGCTGTGTCTGGTTCGCTGGCGAGTTCTTCGATCGATCTTGCGGGGGGGTGTTCTGAGCTGTTGTGTGGATGGCTGGTCCCGTTTTCTGCATCGTCCACACCAACGTGAAAGCCTTGGGCCACCCGTCTTTTTTCTTCGCGACGCTGGAGAGCAGCGTATATGGTTGGGAACCTGCGAAGGAACTTCCTGTATTTCCCCGAATGCGGGAGGACGGTCCAGTCTGCGAAAACGCTGGTGGCGTGCTTGAATGCGAGAACAATGGTGTCGCTCATTTCCGAGATCAGAACTGTCATGGTGGGAATGGAAATAAGGGACCAGACGATAAAAAAGGGCCTCGATGCGTTGGTTGTTGGTGTGAAATCCCCATACCCGATCGTCAGGAGCGAGCAAAATCCGAAGTATAATGCGTCGAAATAAGTGATGTCTTCAAGCTTCCAGAAAACGACAGCACCGCACGTCCAGACTATTCCAAACATAATGAGACTGAGAACCAGGTTGTACCACCGACGGAAAAGGACAGTTTCGTACTGAATCGCACGCATGGCATCGAATCGGTCTTTCTCTTCTCTCATAATAAGGACCTTTGGTCGGCCGACGAGAGAGAATGCGTCGATAGTGCTTCGCTTGCCTGACTTTCGTAGGTTCTTTGGGGTAAAATCAAGATGTGGCGCTTCTGAACCTGGTTCCAGGGAAATGGAGTGCTGAATGGTTGCTTGCCGCTTTCGTTCAACATGCTTTCGCACGACGTTGTCGTATTGCAGCTCCCGGGCAAAGTCATGGATACTTCCTACCACAAGGCCCAGTATTATGATGCCCATCACCGCATAAGGAAACACCAGGCCTTTCCCAACGGAAGTTGGAGGAGTGATATCGCCGTAACCCAGGGTTAAAATCGTGACGTCAGAGAAATAGAGTGCATCTGCAAATGAAATGTCGATGACCGCATGGAAGATTGCAGCGCCTATTAGTAACCATACCACAAATGCGGTAGTCTGCAAGATCAGCGTTCTCTGACCGTCAGTGAGGGCAAAATACTGCGGATAGTGTCCGCGAACGTATCCCCACATGTTGATCATCAAAATGACGGTAAGCAAGAAATAGAGAGCTGCTGCGATGACCGCACTCCAGTATGCCTGGGAGTATGTCTCATCAGGCGGTACTGGACTGTCATAGATATGTGTCGCGGCCGTTATACCAATCAGGATAGCCGTGGACAAGCACCAGAGAATGATAGATGCGGGCAAGGCTATAATATACCGCATAGTCCGCGTGAAGTTGAAGAGCAGGAAAATATTGCCGGCGATCCCACATGCAAGTGACGTAGCATTAAGTGCTATGCACCTGGTAGAATCAGCACTGTCCATCTCTATCGCTGTGGTTGGTTCTCACCATCGAGGGTCTCGCATGAGTTCCTGCACCTGGGCACCGGATGAGTCGGTTCGGCCAAGAAGTTTGCTCTTCCACGGCATCACAAGTGCAATGATCGACATAAGGTTCGCGAGAGGTGCCGACGTAGCTGCTATTAATGGGATTGCAGTGGACGCAACCCACCAGTCTTGGGGTCCGTCATCATCCGCTGGCCTTGGGTGAAAGTGACTTTGGACCCATTTTCCAAGCGACTTCTTCTCCGTGCTGCGAGGCTCAACTTTGTCTTCGTTCATGTCTAACCTGATACTATACAAGCACCACTGATCAACTTCGATGAATGACTTCTGAAATGAAGAGGAGAATGTAAGGTATTGGCTGAATGATGGGTTAACAGTTCATTGTCACGGTGGTAAACACGGAAGATGTATCAAGGTGAGGGGTTTCGAAATGTTCAAATTGATATCCATGAGGTGAAGGCTAGTCCCCGAGGACAAAGACGCACATTGAAGTGTCGCAGCATTGACAAAGCATCATGCCAGAAGCCCAGGTTCTTTGTTTGGCGATGGCGGCAACTCGCGGCAACGATCTCGTGACGAACCAGCCCTGACAACGTGCCCTACTGGCCCCATTGAGACATGACGTCATCGCATCGCGTCTCAGGTACCGCCAGCCCCCATGTTTCATCACACTGAAGGTCTTTTGCTAAGCATTGTCAGCATCAGACAAGCTTTGCGGCGCTTTGTGGGTCCAACAAATCTTCGGCATTGCTGCTACTCAATTGAAACCATGACTACTGAGGCTCACTCACACATCAATACTCTCGGAGTGACCGGAATGCGTCCAGCCATAATCTGACTGTTTCCCCGGATGAGATATCAAGTCGTAGACAAAAGACATTAAATTTCACTGTCATAATTGGTATATACACTATACGGACAAATCGATGTTAATAGAACCCCAGCCCAACCGTCCAGGAAGTTCCCCGAAGCAGAAAATAACCATGCTACCAGAACGCCGTCATACCAGCACGCTTTTGGCAATCATTCGTTCTCAATGTATCGCGTCGTCACCGTGGTCGACACATCCACTGTTCTCATGATACCCATAGGCTCTAGATTCTTCCGTTGCTCAGAGTCGCCGCGTACCGTCGTCTCAATCCTTGGCGCTTCTTGAGCATTGGGGATGAGGATGTCCTGATCCGATTCAATTTCCGTCAAGGTCATCGGTGTGCGACTGGGTCGGCTGTTCTTGGTTTTGCTCAACTCGTATTGCGAGCTGTTGGTGTTTTTACGGCTCGTGTCTCTATTGCTCAGGTACTCGCGGTGGGTGTGAGAGGCGAGGGCTGAAAGGGCGGGTAAGCAGGTACAGATGACCCCAATCGCTATCTCGGCGTTTCTGTCGGCAGAGGAACTGTTAGTAAAGCAATTTGAATGGTTTGATCTCAACAAATAGGCGTACCCAAACATGTTGATGCGCATAAAAGCTAGCGTCGCATCCTTCGACTGTCCCGTCAATATAATGAGGACCAAACGGATAACACTCGATGCACACGCTAATCCACCCGCTCCCAAAATGCCAATGACCCTCAGTTTTTTCTTGAAGGGCAATTGTAAACCCAATGTCAAGGGCAAGGGAAGAATGAGAATAGTCATATCGCTAACAACACTGACAACCGCATCGGCGAGGATGATCGATGTTTGATCGAGGCATGTCCCCGGCGTGTCAGGGGCCCAGAACTTTGATATAGGGTCGCAAATCCGGATCTTGACAATGACAGCCGGAACATAGTAGGCGAGCATAATTGCCAGGAATACGTAGATAAATATAACTGTTTTGCGATAGGGGCTGAATACTCGTGCGATAATCCAGAGCAGGGACAACTTGGTCAAAAATGCGGTCGGCCCATACATAACCATCGTGACATACACCGTCTAGACAAGTTAGAACAGCAGATCCAGTCATAGCGCATCGCACGCACCTTTTCGAATGGTATGCGATGCGATATAGGCACATCAGCGTAGTGAACTCCGCCTCCAAAATGACCCACTGGACCTGCTCAGTAAAGTCCCGCGAATTCTCGGGATATACTTACTGATCAGGGCGATAACCGAGTAGCAAACACCAAGAAACTGAGGACCAAGGAACATGAGCATGTCGCTCTATGGAGTAAATAAATGATTCTTACCCAAGCACCTAGGCAAGGCCCTTTGGGTTCATCAGCATTGACCAACTCGGCTGTCCACAAGACTTACAGTCTTCTTTCCTGTAGCCATCCATTATAACCAACCGTGTGAAAGAGCGCAATCCAAAGAATATTGTCATTGTAGTGATGCATATTATTTGCGTTGCCAGATTCCATTTCTGGACAGACCTGTCGATAGGCCTACCTGTTGCATCGACATCATCACGTCCAAACAACTCCATGAGCGTCATGGCGAATAGGTTGATCGCCCGCACCCACTTCCAGAATGCAGGAAATAGAACAGAATCCCAGCAGTCTGGGTTCACGTCCGCTTTAAAATGAACCACAACAAAAATTGGGATCCCGACTCCTGACACATCAATTCTGGTCGATACATCGCGGGCATTAAAGCTCTCCGATTCGCCCTTTCCAAAGCCTTCGCATTTTTATTTAGACGGGGCCTGTTCCCCCTGAGAAGGGTAGCGTCTTGCCGAATAATTAAACTACACTCCTTCGTTGGTCTTCCTGCGACAGGGTTAGGAATTAGCGACTGATGGGTGCTATGAAAAAAGTACGGCTAATCCATCAGCTTTACCATTTCTGAGCAAGGGCTCCAGGGATAACAAGGCTCCATAGCTGACGATCGTGCCAAGTGGATGACAGTGCTTGATCAATGGCATTGAAGTATTTCTCATTACGGATATTCTCCGTCGCTTGGGGCCGCAAGTGGATAGGTGGGTGGCCTGGTACAGTCATCGTGCCAGTGACTCAAACCCATTTAGGACTGGACTGGGGATGACTAAGTCTCCGCGCTGGATAACTACATGTGGATGCGCTAACCTGCAGGATGGGTTTCAAAGCTCGCTCTGCAGTCCCAGCCTCGCATGTTGCGGGTTGCGATGAAGCTAAAGTCATGCAACGCAATCAGACATAGGCCGTTTGGTTTCAGCATCCGATCAACAGGAGCAAACGCACTATTCTGTCAAGGGCGTACTCTAGCGTTAGATACAGTGAAGCCAACACAATTATTGAGGTTGATGGGTAAGAGAATTGGGACGACGAGGTGTCGATCGAAAGCCACGCTTAAGTGTGATCCATCATCCCTCGCAGGTAAGATACCGCGCATACAGGCCGGCACCAATACAGTTCCATACCGTATCGGTAAGGCATAATCCATAATCCCTACACCCAGCGAGGTCCGGGGCGATGTGGGGCACCGGACGTCGGGCGGCAAGTGGGGCCCGTTGCCGCTTGAGAGAACCTAATGCCCGTGCGGATCCAACGCTGTTACCAATTGTGGGGCTTAGGGGCGAAGATCCTGCCTTTCCTGGTATAGCAGGTCTTACTTTATATTACTAGGATTAATTGGCCACTAGCTAGTCTGGGATATCATAAGTACGATACAGAAAATTGACCAGGATTAATGGTCGTTGACGAAAAAAAAAATTTTTTTCTTCTGCTGGAAATCCCTCGAGCAACGCGTTGTCTGAGATCAGCAAACATTCCTCCGAAATTTTTGAAAGGCAAAGGATCACACTATCAATTGGGGTGGAGTCATGCGTAAGCTTTGTGTCCCCTATTACGCGTGGTAGATAGGCAAGGTCACATGGGAATCTGAATCTCTCCGGGCGACGACCGGAGATCGTCATGGTGTTGCTTCTGTCAGAAAAGTTAATGGATGGAGCATGCTACCCTTTCACACCATCTCACCTTGCAGAGACCTGCTGAAGTGAGATACGGATGCCCACAGCCCTTTGTTGTCTGACACTAAAGGCCATGCACTCCCTAAATACGCCGTATACTATGTGGGCTTAATTCCTTTTGCGTGTTCCGCCCTAGTGGAGTCGGGAAGGGCTGGCAAGCGCTGATCGCAGCTGCGTTGTGGCGTCTAGGAAATGTGGGCTGCCCTACTAATTTAGATCCTGATACGATGTGCTACGGTACGGTGCGAAATTCTAACTGGAACCTGGTGCTTTACCAAAGGCAAATATGTCCCAGGTACTGCCGCTTCCGTCTATGTACAGCGTAGCTAGAGCACTGATAGGCGGCTATTCTGCAATCAGAGACAATAGCCCAAGTTATGATATTAGTAACCGGCAAAATTTTGGACCCACTCAAGAAATTGGCGATGTTCTCGGTGTTTCGCACTCTACTCCGTACGGAGCACATTTCCTTTTCTCTACACCATATACCCCACTTTTTGTTTTCTTTTTATCTGCCCACCCTAACAATGGGACTGCAGTCGCCTGTACTCCGTACGCTGACAATCACCGTGCTCAAATGCCTCAGCAATTTCCAAAAACTCCTACTAGGTAGCAGGTACATGTGGGCACGGGAGTCGGAGATGTCTTCTGCACTTCAATATACATGGCTGTCATATGCAAGTCACCCGCCGACAATGCAAAGCATTGTTGAAAGATTGATCCCTGCATGCCATGTGTGCTCGATTTAGAAAATGGCCATAATATTTGGAGGCGAGGATACTCCGCCTGGCATATTCAGGGGGACGGAAGCAATAAAGAAAGACCAGCGCTGGAGGTCTTGGCAAGTTCGCGACAATGCCTCCAGATCAAATAGCTCCCCTATAAATTAGATATAGTCAGCATATCTGACTTCACATCAGGAGCTCTATGATTTAACGTACCGATTGGCATACCCCAACCTGCGAGTACATACTCATGCAAGAACACATCCGGCGACTGGGGCGGGTAGACCTGCCATATGTCAGCAGCAATGTCGAGATGATGATATATTACACCGAATTCCGGTGGGAATCTCACCTCCCAGCTAATTGCATCACTAGCTATCGCAGCGAATCCAGTGTTCCAGAGCCATCGCAGCATATCTGTAGTCGCCTCGACCCCAGCGTGCTCCGGGGTCGGATTATTGGCGTACTGCTGCTTCTGATCATCGGTCATGATCGTGTCCCATTCCTTGGTTACCCCGATGCGGACGAAAAGTATGTCACCCTTTTGGAAAACAATGCCACATTCCTTGGCAATCTCCTCGATGTCTGAAAGCCGAATCTGATGCGTCGAAAATGTGCTGTATTTTATGCCTTTTTTCTCTGCCCATGTGGCATAGTCGATCAATACCCCGCGACCTATCACGGCATGCATCATGGCAATTAGTCGTCTGTGCTACTGAACCGCTCGTCAACCAAGGGACAGGCCCTACCAGCGATACCCTCCCGCGCCCAATGTTGTAAACCAATCCGGTCGTTCTTGCGGTCGGTGATCTCCTCGGTCTTCGTGCCTCCATAGAACACTCGCTCGGTTTGGCCGTCAACTGTCTGCGAAAAATGCCGTAGACCATCCCACTGGCTACTCTGTTCTAACGATGGGTTAGCTCTAAAAGGTGCTATAGGCAATGGCGGGAATAGTACGGAACCTACGAGGGTTCATTGTAAAGATATCATCAAAGGCCACACCGCCCAGAAGCGGGACGATCTGGTGATGGCATGGCTGACGGTTCAAATTAGGATAATCCAGCTTGGTCAGTTCCCATCCCATCGTCACCCGTCGGCCAGTCTTGATTTCAGTTGCGGCAGCCTTTGCCACCACCTCCGGAGTCAAGATGGCGAGCTTCCCCAATCCTTCCTCGTGGCTTCCCGGCTCTCCAACCCATACTTGCTTCGGGTTTGGCAGTTCGTCAAAGGGTATATCGAAAGGCGATTGGTTGTTTGGCATGTTTTCAAAAATGAGTTAGGCGGATAGTCGGTAATACAGACATAGAATGCAATAATTTGTGGGATGGTAGGAACTATCAGCAGCGATAAGCAACCGGCTACAAGTAGTGTACGCTCAGGAATAAGCCACCGGGCAGTAGCGGCAGTGTCTACCTGCTTATGTAGCCTGCTGCAAGGGGATCTTGTGATTGGCACCAACTTGAATTTGGGAACCGAAGGGAGAAGGGCAAGTTGGCGTGTAGACAATTCAACGCCGTTGGTCGTAGCAGAAATACCTGGTGGCACTAAGCGAATAAGTACATGGATAGTCGCGATGGAGTCCCGGGCTAACACGTCTGGGACTCCGCACCGAATATGCACTTATTGCACCCATGCTGCTCGTGCTCTCCACCCCCTGCGAAAATCTCTGCCAAGTTCCGAGCCCACAGGCCCAGTACCGATAGAAGATACGGAGTAGATAGTCCGTAGAGAGGATAAGGCAACTAATTTCAACTCCGCCGAAGGAATGGAGCCCGGAGATCCGGAATATGGCCCGGAGTTAGGCTACCAGACGGCCGGCCTGTCAAGTAGATAGTGTGCGTCTGCCTGTCATTTCCTCCCGCCTGACATGACACTCGGGCGGCGATAAACGCGGGATCAACTGATCAGAAAACATATGGCAGCCAAAGTTAACCGGGAAGGAGAACCTTAATGTGGGCAGCAAAACATGCCGACATACGTACGGAGTACATAGCACACCATAACGGTAACGTACGTACCAACTGACAGGACGGGATGTCCTAAAGAGGCTTAGCATCATTCCCCCTTTCGGCAGGACCGTTTGTCAGGTCAGCAAGGCAACGGCACCTTCGAACTAATGCATCACTTTTTCGCTTCTCCCCTGGTCTAGAGCGAAGAAACGGCCGGATAGTGACCGACCATCATGCTCCTTTTAATCTGGAAGTTGAGCAGGAGTCATCCCGTTGGCCGGTGGGCCCCATCCATTCTCTTCGACTCCACCCAACCAAATGCTCGCAGAAACGAAGTATACACAAGGAAACGCTAGCAAGCTCCCACGAGCTAATGGAACTAGTGCAGCATGTGTCTGTCCCTGGGAAGCCTGTTTCTCGGGTCGCTTGCAGTGTGTTGACAATTGTATCCTACTTAAGCTGGTGTGCCGACGTTCGCTGTCGTACACGGGGTTGCTCTGCGCTCTCGTATCTACCTAGCAATTTTTTCCGCTCTTTCTTCCCCCTCTTTCTTTCCTGAACGTGGTATTCTGGGTTGTACGCGATCGAAACTGAGCTTTGTGGCTTGCACGATCTGGTTTCACCTAATGCAACGTGCAGGTTGACCTGTTTGCTCCTCTCTTTGGTTATATTTCTTTTTCCTTCCCACTTGGGCTTCGATCTACACTCAATTTTGTGAACAGACCACTAGTTCAACATGGGGACGTTCGGGTCTCAGACCAGTACTTATAACCGGCTGGTCACAATCTTTGTTGCCGTTGGGTCGATGGTAAGTATCTGCAGCTTTACTCTCTTCATCTCGCAGACGATTCGTGTCTAACGTGCTCATTGAATAGACCTATGGCTACTGCACCTCGATCATTTCAAGTACTATCGGTCAGCCCGGATGGTACACATACTTCAATCTTCCCCAAGATGGTGAACCAGGATATGCTTCGATCACAACCCCCGTTATCTCTACCGCAAACGGTGTCTTTAGCGCCGGAGGTGCGGTTGGGGCACTTTTCATAATGTGGTCGTGCGATTTCTTTGGCCGCAAGCGTAATATCCAAATGGGTGCTTTTTTGGCCATGTTTGGAGGAGCACTACAAGGAGGTTCCAATTCACTCAAGTGTGTCACAATGACCCTATTATTGCACACGTCCTCGCTAACGATACCTAGGATGTTCCAGGCTGGTCGCTTTGTATGCGGTCTAGGGATTGGTATCCTTGTGACTGTTTGTCCAATGTACCTTTCTGAAATGTCTAGTGCCTTCCGCCGCGGATGGCTTGTCGGTCACCATGCCATTTTTCTTGTCTTCGGCTACATGCTTGCTGGGTGGGTTGGCTACGCATGCTACTTTGCAGAGAACAAGACAGGCACATTTGGCTGGCGGTTTCCACTTTGCCTCCAATGCTTGCCGGCTCTGATCCTGCTTCTAGGGTCACCTTGGCTTCCTCGCTCTCCACGCTGGTTGATCAGTAAGGGAATGCATGAGGAAGCTAAATTAGTTCTAGAGCGACTTCGCCAATCGCCAGACGACCCCGATAACTTGGTTGCCAAGGAAGAGTACTACCAGACAGCGGAACAAATACGACTGGAAAATGAAAGACTGTCTACCTATGGCAACGTGTGGGCAGCAGTTTTGAAGAAGAAGTCGTACAGGAAACGCATGGCCATTGGGTTTCTGACTCAATGGGGAGCAGAGTTTGGTGGTCCTTTGATTATAGTGAGTCTAGGCCTTCTCAATGTCGTCTATCCCCTAGCCACTTACGCGGTATAGAACAATTACGCCGTTCTTCTCTATGAAAATCTCGGGATGACAGGTGGCATGCCACTACTCCTGAGCGCAGTATGGCTAACAACCGCTGGTAAGCATGGATTGCCTCGATGGTAGGGAGAAATGCTGACAGTGACATCTTCAGGGCTCATCTATAATCCTCTGGGTGCCTGGCTTCACGACAGGGTGAACTCGCGTCGAAAGATGTATATCACAGGCTTCGTCGGCATCATTATCACCACCTCTTGCTTGGCTGCCATGACTGCCCAGTATGCAGGCACCACAAACCGCGTCGGTAATGGATTCGGCATTCTCTTTATGTATCTTTACCTCGCTTTCCAAGGGTAGGTACTCCACTTCACAGATTCCTCTTGAAGTTACTTATCCCTTGTTAGAACCTTCTGTGATACGACCATGTATCTCTACGTCTCCGAAATTTTTCCTACGGAGATCCGCCCTATTGGCATGGGGTTCTCATTGTTTGGGCAATTCGCCGGTAAGTTGCTTGCCTGAGCCAATGAATATAGCTAAGTTTGCAACGATAGCGACCATTATCCTTCTCCAAACTGCGCCCACAGGCTTCGACAACGTTGGCTGGAAGTACTACCTAGTTATCATTTGCTGGTCCACTTTCTTCATCCCAGGTGAGTTGGATCAATAATTCAGGAGCCTGTTTGGTTTTCTGACACATGGTCTCTAGTGATCTATTTCTTCTTTCCCGAAACTGCTCGTTTGACTTTGGAAGAGATTGCGAAAAACTTCGGCGAAGAAGTTGCTGTTCATCTTACCGACGCGACGGACGAGGAGCAAGCCCGTGTTCAACATGAACTTGAGAAACGGCCTGACAGTTTGGGACACTCCGACTCAAGCAGGGACAACGAGGCTGAAATCACCCCGCCTAGCGCGCACGAGACGCCCAAAGGTCCATGAACTGACCAACCGTCTACCACTAATGCACTAAACGATGGCTTCAGCTGTCCTCGATTGATACTCGACACGAAATCTTCCGAGGCAGAGAATCCCAATGCACGTTTATCAGTATCACGAAACACGAGTCCGGCTACACGAGCAGGCTAGTTAATAATGCTGTAGCGAATCCCCTAACCGTCGGAGGGAGTTCGGGTGGCTTACGAGAAGCTTAGGCCATTTTCAACATTGGATATGTGAGAGGCCAATTTTGTTTTTCTGGGAAATAGCGCAGACACAATAGCAACGAATAATTAATGTGACATTCACCTGCATGTCCTTCTCGTAATTTCTTTGCTTGCCCTACTCCGGATATCCTTGGTGGCCCAGCTCCACAGTGCATCATCCGAAAGACGAACAGATTGTCAAGTCGGAGGACTAGGTAGCATGAGGTACTGTGTTAGCACCTCAGGAGTCTTATCATTCATCCATGATGGAATAACACCTATCTTCTCAATGCGGCAGTTGGCAAGCCAGCGGGGGCAGAGACGTTTACGTGATCACGGAGGAGTCCCGAGCCAATGAGCATTGGGGCCCGGGCCGTATGTCGGCAGACCGTCAGGCTGCAGAGCCAGAGAGAGGTCAGGGGTGGATTGGTCGGCCAAATGGCACGGATCCGCACTTGTTGTAGTATGTACGTACGCTCCTCGCCATGCTGGCTGGAAACCATCCTTGCTGCCACCTTGTCGAGGCTGCCCTGAGAGTACGAACAAGTCTTGACCAGTAGATGGACTCAGGGGCCACTTGTACGGCGCACCACGGGCTTTGAGAGATAGAGATGGGCCTGGGTTCATGCAAGCTGAGACAATGGAGATGGTAGGCCGCTCAATCAGATAAGGAGTGTCAGATGATTATTGTTCATTACTGATAGGGGTTAATTAGAACTTAGAAGAGGGTCTGCTCATTTCCTGAAGATCCTCCATGAGAGATGGATGGAGGGCAGATACCTTAAGGGACGATGGCACCTCCTCAGGCACCCACGGGGGTGGGATGGGTGCTGGCACCAATCAGGATGCCTCGGTGCGCAATTGTCCATTCGCCCCTCCTCCCGCTAGCCGAGAACGGTCTAGGACGGATCTGAAGCGAGCCAGTCAGGAAGAGCAGCAGCGCCTGCGCGACGGGCGGGCGTCTCAGCCCAGCGTGTCAAAAGGCAGAATCGGGAATTGCTCGCCAGGAGAGTGATTCGCATGATCCCAATAGTAGTTCTGGCTGGCTCTGGCTCTCTCCTTCTCTCCGGCTCTGAGGTGCTTGCTTGCTGTCCCTTCTTCTGCTCTCCTCCTTTCATTCACTAGTACTGCGTAGTAGTCCTCCGATTCACTGCCACTCTTCTTTCTCCCTTCCCCGCTGGTTCCTCTCCTTCCCTCCCTCTCTCGGTCGCCCTCTTTCTCTGCCTTTCTCCTCCTCTCAGCCTCTTACTACCTACCACTTTCCTACCCCCCAACCCTGTATTCACTTCTTCCTCACCCCCCTTTTCTTACTTTTTTCCTTCGCCATCACTGTCCATTCATCTCACTACTGTTATTTTACCTTCCTTTTCTTCTAGTCCTTTAATCACTATTCCCGTCCTACCGTCGTCGGTGGAGTAGCAATCGAGCCCAGCGAACTTGACGTTCCTTGGGTTGTCTGCCTGGGGCTCTGGCACTGGACGGTCCTCTCTAAGCGCGAAAGAGGGAAAGGCACGGAAAAAAGAAAAAGAAAAAAAGCGGCCAAACACGCGCCGCCTCCCGAAACGAAGCACCCGGAGTCGACTTTCGTTTCTTCCTCACCCTTCCTTCTCTCGTCAGGTTCGAAGTGCGGAAAATATAAGTCACGAAACGGAATAAAAAAAAAGAAGTCAAAAGAGGAGAAAAGAGGATACAGAAAAGGAGCAACACTGTCCGAAAAGCCAAAAGTACTGCTTTACCCTTCTTGCCGCGACCGCGCGTTTTCATCCTGGACGGTCTGAAAGGTAGACCGGTTCTCGTCTTCTCTTGCATCTTCGTGTGAAGCATCATTCTCTACGGCTACTAGGGAGTTGCAGAGCATCCCCAGCCCATTCCTTATCTTCTGTCTTTCTTAATACAGAGAATCTGCTTCCCCTCGTCTTCCCGAGCCTCGCACGGGTCTTCTTTTCTTATCCGGTCGCGTCCGTCTCTCACTCTCCCTCTCTCGTCCCCTCCAGCCAGCTGCATCTTCCGGCGGCTTCTGACACCCCGGTCTTATAATCGCTTGTACACCTGGTTATTAATCACTCATTGGTTTTCTGTCTTCTCCAGCAAGGCGCATTCCTTTGCGTACCTTATTGTATTCTGCAGGTACGTCGGGTTCCCAGTCGGTCCTTGTCCCCCAAACCCCTGCTGACACCGTTTTCAACATAGGAAGTCCGGACCTTCGCCCCGATCATTGCCTCTTAACCCCCGTTCTCCGGCGTCGGTTATTTCCTGGGTGTTCGATCTTACCCTCAGCCTTGTAATATTTTAATACGCCGAAAGTTTCTTCTGTGTGGTCGACCACATCGCGTCTCCGATCGCCGCCCTATCAGCGCTGTTTCTCTTCGTCTCTTGCACATACTGTTTTATACTCCATTTACAGCCACGAGTATGGACACTGGCGGTCTTGCTCAAATGACCTACAATCCGTCTTTCAATAATGGCAGTTCCCTTGGGGTTCCCGGGGCCAGCTTTGCGTCTCGGAGGAAAGGCTCTCATATCAAGCGTTTGAGCGTGCCCCCACCACATATCTCGACTATCGACGAGTCCCAGCCGTCTGCGCCAATCCCAACTCCGCGCACCAGCCGTTCGCACCTCCTGGCTGGATTGAGGACAGCTCCTAAATCAGCCACGATGCCTTCGGCCTCCCATCGCCAGCAACACCTGGGCTTGGAAGGCGATCGATATGGCAATCTCTCGAACCGAACTGCCGATCGCGTCCCTCAAACCGCCATGGGAACCGGATTCCCACGTCACTCGTTAGCCTTGAATCAGGGTCTGGACATGAGCACGGGACGTCCCATGTATACTTTACCGGAGCAGGTGCTCGCACCTCCGGCTCTTGACATCGCTGGCGATACGCAAATTGACGAGAGCCTGTACGCAGAGCTGATGTCAACAAACCTCTTCTTGGCCGCTCAACAACAACGCTTGCAGCAGCAACTGATCAGTGTCACTGCGGCAGCTCAGCAGTTTCAGGGTCTCAACCTGGGAGGGCCCATGGTCCAGCAACAACAGGAATACCCCTCCATGTCTGTCCCCAGTATGGGATTCTACCAACAACAGCTTCAGCAGGGCGTGCAGCCAGTGGTGCAACCCGTTCCTGGCCAGCCAGGGCTCTACTCGGTGTACAATCCCCTGACCGGTCAGCAGAACTTTGTCTACGACAACACCTTTCAACAGGAAAGCTCGCCTTCTCCTTACCAGGAAGAGGAGACTCAGTCCCCGGCCATGCCGGTGCCCACTTTCAGAGCCGAAGTGTCCCCACCACCCGAGTCACGCCAGTCCCCTGTGAATGTCTCTCAACCTGTGTCCCCTCCCAGCGGTCGCTCATCTCCGCAGGAGACTGTCCCTCTGCCTCCCCCTTCGGCCAATGCCTTCCGCAGAGGTCACAAGAAGAGCTCATCTTTCAGCCCTGCACTCAAGTTGCCACTTGACACGGCGAAGGCCAACAGTGTGATTACGCCTCCCGCTCCGAAGACTGCCGCATTACCGCAAACACCCGCCACTGGAACATTTGGACCGGGACAAGCTCGCGCTGGCGAGCACCCCATCCGCCAACCACGTGGCCCACCCTCTCTTGAGGAGCTCACGGCCAAGCCAACTTCGAAGCACGAGGGGAGCAAGAACTTTGCGACCCGTCAACGTCGGCGTGCTGTGCACAATCTAGTCCGGGCAGGCATTGAACGGCGCGGAGAGACTCGGAGTTTTGGCTGTCATAGCAGCGGTGGTACCAATACCCCGGCGAGCGAGAAGGAATTCACGTTCTCTGATGGGGATGATGCTACTGTTCGCAGTGGCAGCCTGTCCAGCAAGCCCAGCCTAGGTAGTCTGCGTGCTGCTGCGAATGGAGCCATTGGTTCTGAGAGGAAGGAGAGGTCTTCCCGTGAACGCCGATCACAGGATAGTCCGTACAATACCACTCCCATTAGCGAGGATGGCGGGTTTTTTGGTGGAAAGTTTGCGGAGGTTCGAGCGGACCAGGCTCCTCCTCGAACCGGATCACCCTCAGTGGCTGCTGTCGTCGCTGGCCAGAAGACGGTAGCTCAGGGTCAGGAAAGACGCAAGACACCGATGCTTGTGCTCTCCAGCGCTGAAAAGCGCAAGACCCCGATCATGTAATGCAAACGTCGTACATAATGTGACTGAGACGTAACGGATGCGCAAAGCTTGGATGATATGTTTTCTTTTTTTTTTTTCTTTTACTTTTTTTTTGCTGTTATTGGATTTGAGTTCCTGCAGGCACCGCTGTTCTGTTCTATCTGGAATAAACAAGACGGTTAATCTTGATGTCGTGGCAGGATTTTGAGAGAAACCTGCCGATGTTTCTCTCCTTTTGACACTGTGCATGGACACATGGCCAGGACTCTGCCCGTCGATGAACCAATCTCTTGTCTGACGAAGCGAGCCTCGGATGAAATGCGATTTCTCTTCAACCTGTTATTATTCGGACCCTCTTTCATGTTCCCCTCCTATTCTTTCCTTCCTTTCACCTGAACAGATTGATGAACCACGAGACCAGAATCATTAAAACAAGTTTTCTTTTCCTACTTATTAAGCCGGTGTCACTCGAGCTTTCCATGCGCGAACGGATGGGTCTGCTGGAATGGTAATGGACCTCCGTCGCCACTTCTTTTTTCCATTCTCTTTTTACACACTACATCTTGGATGGGATACTGTACGTACATGCATCTGGATATGTATGCACTTCGTCCGCTACTTTTTCTCTATGTTCCTGGGAGATACTACATAAATCTACTTCAGTAAACTCTGTTCTACGGATCGCGATAGACATGTTCCTCCTGGCGCTCTAGTTTAATTGATTCTGGTCCCCCATCCTCTCAAAGATCGAATCTGCGGCACGTAGCATACCTATACCCAGATCCATCCATTCCATTATCTACTACCTGTTCCCTACAATGCCAATACAAATCTCATCCCTAACCCCCAATACATCAGTACTACTAGCACTTACTCCACTTAACCAATCTTTGTGCCCACTAACCCATCAAGCG